TGAAAGGAACAAGGAGAAACTGTAACAAAGGAATCAAAAGTAGCTTGTCAATTAGCCGTCCATGGAAAGGAGTCAAAGCAACATAAACAGCTTCCAGCTGTTTCCTGGAAGGCAAGAGGTAACAACTGCTTGATAACTTGCTGCCTTGTAACAAATTGTCAATTAAGATTGCCTGCATAAGCAATGTCCTGAGGCAAATGGGGCTAATGACAGAGACAAGCTGTGTTTCAAACAGATGGTTAACACCAAATCTAACAAGAAACAGAGAAGCTACTCCTGATAAAGCAGCAAGCTAGAGACTTGATAAATTTCAGAAGTGTAATCAATGCTGTGGATGAATATATCTAAAAGGATCATTAATAATGTCATATCAGAAACTTCACTGGACAGAAAACTCAAATTCAAATTCAGGATTCCTCAGCAGTAGAACTTCGAAGAACCACAATGCACAAGGACTGAGCCCTAGATATCCAGAAATGGACACTGTTGATTGGATTCAGAGCTAAATTCGAATGCTAATCAACTGGGTGATAGCTAAGTTGAGTTGTGAGGTGTCTTATTTTGGTTGCCACATGCAGTAAAGCTATGTAATGTTTCAGTATTTGATTATCTCTGAGATTTCTTAATAAGTAGCTGAAATAAAGGTAGCTTGTGGTAATTTACATGGAATATTCCGTTTTAACTAATCTCCTGCGTGGCCTCGTTAAAATTCTTCGAAAATCCAAATATACATTTACTGTTTTACATATCTACTCTGCTGGCAACAGGTTTATCATACTTGATTCTATTTTCACAAATCCAACTTGACTGCCCAAACAGACCATTAAATAAGAGTTCATTTATCCTATCCTTTAGGACAGACTCTGTATTTTCCCTCCAACTGATGTCAGGGTACTAGATCTGTAGTTTCGTATTTTCTCTCTCCTTTCCTTCTTAAATAGGTGTTTATGTTTGCAAAATTCCAACTTGCATCCACTATCTCTAAAGCTCCCTCTTTCGACAGTGATTTATATAATCAGTAGCTCCAGTTCCTAAGGACTTATCAACTTTCACTTCCATTAATCTATCTGGTACTATATTTTTACAAATACTAATTTAGTTTAGCTCCTCATTCTTAAGGAGTTCCTTGGATTTCTTATTTTTGGGGGTTTCTTGCATTTCCACCTGTGAAGATACAAGACAAATAATCTATCCCAGTTTTTAATTCGATGTGCAATTTCAGAGAATGAGGCCAGCTTTCTCTCTATCCCAAGTGAATCAATGTAGAAATTAATCCAAGTTACTAACAGCCCAAGAGATGAAAAATAATGGCACAGGAAGAAACTATAAGGCAACATGTGATTACATTGGACTGCTTACTACCACAAGACATTCTAAGGGCATGTTCAATACGTAGTTCATGACAATTAAAAATATCAATAAATACGAAATTACGAACCTCTCTGGTGACGAATAAGCACCTGGCACACAGTCAGTAATGTTTCCCTAAATTCACATCACATATAAACTGTCTACTTCCACGTAACTCTTGCCCAATAATCTGAACATGGAAACCAAATAATAGCTCAGATTAAATTTCCTTCAGAACAAAACTATAACACATTGGAACATAATTAGTCAGTGATCTGTATATATCATGAGGAGGTTATAACTGAGTCACTGGAACATTGTTGTTCAGCATAGCTAATTCCAACTCTCAACAGCACTTACCTTCACTGGTTGTGTTTGGATTGCATCATTAGGCGCTGCTGAACTTCCCTGACTAGAGAGAAATAATTCAGTAAGCATTACAAAAAGATGTACATAAGTCAGATACCTGCATCAAAAATTCATACAGATCACTTTCCCACACTCCCACTAATGTACAAGTTAATGCAGTCAGTAAAGCAACAAAACAAAAACACTGCAATCATTAGCTTGAATGTTAGGAAGTGCTAAATCCAACACACAGTCTTAAACTGGGTTGGAATGAAAATGCAATTCCATTTCTTCTTGCAGACTGACTCCTTCTAAAGCCACAACAGACTGGAAAAGGATAACTGCCTGCTATTACACAGCTCTGTACAACTTTAAAAGAAATCCTAACCAACCGAACAATGTATGTTGACTATGGATGTCAGTCATGGCTGAACTGGCAGCACACTTGCACCAGAGTCAGAATTGTGGGTTCAATTCCCACTCCAAAAAAATCAGGCACCAGGCAATACTGGAGGAACTTTGTAGTTGTTGGAAGGGACATCTTTTAAAGAAGGCGTTAAAGCAATGCCTCATCTGATCCAAAAACAGGAGCTGCCGGAAAAGCTCAGCAAGTCTGGCAGCATCTGTGAAGAGAAATCAGCGTTAACATTTCGGGACCAGTGACCTTTCCTCAGAACACAATTTCTGATTTACAGCACACGCAGTTCTTTTGGTTTTTATTTGGGCCTCATCTGATGCCTTGTGTTGATGTAAAAGATCCATAACCTGGCCCCTGGCTGATGTCATCCCTCAAGATGCATCATTAAAACAGATTATCACACCATCATTCGTGGGAGGTTGCTTAGCAAAAATTCACTTTTGCATTTCCTACTTTACAATGGCTATGCTTGAAAAGTACATTTTATTATCTGTAAAGCATCCCTTAAAAATGCAAAATTATTTTGCAACAATTTAGCCCACATTAGACAGACAGACAGACACACGTTAGGGCTTGACAATATAAACGCATGACACACAGTTCATGCAGTAACAGACCCAACTAAAATCAAAGTCAAATATAGCTCACATTAATGTGCCACCTACTGGTAAAGCTAATATATACTAAGTACAACATTTTCTGACCTAACTCTCCAATACAAAGCTCTAAGCGAAAATAATCAAGTCCTTACGTATAATCTACGTAGTCCTTCCTCCACGACTCTGGAGTACTTTCATTTGGTTTGCCATGTTTATCTAATAAACCTTGCTTAATCATCATTTTCTTCTGGCTTGCCTTTAAAATTAAAAAAAAAAGTTACAATTTTGTGTTACACCAACTCTAGAGAAACAGAATGTCACCAGACATTTCAAACAACTGGCCAAAATCTTTAACATTCGCACCATATAAGCCAAACACTCAGAAGTGATGGCGTTGATCTCCACTGGACATCAGGAACATGAACACGGTCTCTTACCTTTTCTATAATTATACAGACATGCCACACAGTTTTAGCTGTCTGTTAAAACTATTTTCTTTAGTTTATACCTAAACTAACTCAATAAGTAAAAACAGCAGCCGAGTCCTTTTTTTGCAACTCTTTAAATATTGCAGCATCTGAATTAATCAGGTGTCTAAAAATGACAACTGAAGTCTAATTACCTTGAATTGCAACAAACTGTCATACTAGCCATTAAAGACAAAAATTTTTCAGTATTGTGGTTGCAGGCTTCAGTTCGGCGCTTTCTAAACTTTCTCTATTGTGATCCCCATATTCTTGGTTGAAAACTGCCATGACCCCAGATATGTTAGTCAATCAGGCTTCAAAGATCAGCCAGTTAACTTTTATTCAAAGATAGTTAGCATGGCCTATGATGATTTAAGGGCCAACAGGGGTTGGGAAGCTCTGTTCTAGATCCTGCGCACACTCAAACAAACCCAGCTTACCTTTGGTCCCAGGCCCCACTTACGTGGGTATGTATCCCGTTCCATGATCACTCGTTTAATCTTTGCTACAACACCATGGTCACACGTTGATATTACTGCCGTCGTCATTAATGCAATCGCTACCAAATAAAACACACAGAAAAAGTGTAACATGATGAGTTTCTGAGCATCATTTCTAAAAAGGTATTGAATGTACACAACACAATTACCCTGCCCCTAGCCAACCATACAGATTTGTGTCCACGAAGAATGCAGTTTGTAACAGCAAACAAGGCGGATCGTCAAACTTGGATTTTAAACAGTGATTGGATGACAAGCAATTTCCAATTATCCCACAAACTGTAATATTTAATTTCAGGTTCTATTACCGATACAAATGGCTTCTCCCTTTGTTGTCACGACAACTATCTCCTGGTTCACCTCAATTCCATCTTCATAACGCAGCAGACCTGGAAGCATGATCTTGGCACCATAACAAATAGCATTTACCTAGTAACAAAACAGATAATGTAAAGATAAAGCCTAAAATAAAACTAAGTGGTTAAGCCAGTTTCAGATTTTTGAGACAGCATCAAGAGGTTCAATGGCTCTTTTAAACGTATCAAATAAAGATAATTTTTCTTTACAAATTGCATACAAATGAGTTACACATTGAAAATCGACAGGTTTAGCATCCTAATTTTGCACCAATTAGAGATAGCTCAATAGGGAGTGATGACTTATCTCAGAGAATGTTATGGACTAATAGAGAGCTGTCACAACCATCACAATCATAACCATAAAGTAACAACTGCAATTATAAACTAACATGTTCCATTCTGCCATTAGGAGTTCTAGTGATGCCACATTATTATTTGACTGGAGGCATATCAGCGTGAAGTGAAAGAAAGAAGTTAGTTTAGCACTTTTTGTATAAAGTCTTCACATTGATTTTTTTTGTAGTCACTCATGGGAAGTGGGTGTCACTAGCTGGGAAGCATTTACTGCCTGTTGCTAGCTGCCCTCAAGAAGGTAGTGGTGAGCTGCCTTCTTGAATCGCTGCAATTCCTGTGCTGTACACTGACCCATAATGCCCTTGGTGAGGGAATTCCAGGACTTTGACCCAGCAACAGTGAAGGAACAGCGATATGTTTCCAAGTCAGGATGCTGAGTAGCTTAGAGGGGACCTTGCAGATGATGGCATTCCCTTGTATCTGCTGCCCCTGATTCCCACTGATTGAATTTTGCTCGGGCTCCTTTGTTCATTTGTACAGTTTCAAGTGACTAAATCGTTAAATAACTGCTAGGTCAGCAGAGTCATTTCCAACAATTGCCTTGCTTCATGCTTCTGATATTTTCTGTACTTACTGCACTATCCTTCATAACAAGCCTTTTGTGAGTTGCCAACAGCTTTTCAAGGGGATAGATGACACGACGCAGATAGGTCTCGTCCTTGTTGTGATCATACTGCCATTGGGCATCCAACACATCATGCATTGTTACCATGTTATCCTGAAGTTACAGAGCAAAACATAGCACTCCAGTTACCAGCACAAATATAAAATGATTTCCAAATAAAACTGTCAAGCCAAGAGCTCCCCCATGAGGCCACATATTGCCATCAAGTACAACAACCCCAAGGCTTTTCACTTTTCCAAAGTTAAATTACCAGTGCAGGAGCAAAGTAACCTGTACTGAACTCAACACTTTGGGATGAACCAGAATTTAAGACAATAGAAACATTAGGGATTGCAGTGCAAGTTTATTAAGACATGCTACCACTGCTGTGGTGATCAAACTGGAATCAGAAGATCATTTCAGGCAATTCAAGTGTTCTCTAATGCTATACAAAAATAATTCAATAGAGTGGCATTCCTACCATTTCACCATTTACACCTGATCGCACTCTTCTTAGTTCTTGCATTTGACCTCCAACTCCCAGTAACAGGCCAAGATGTACACAAAGTGTTCTGATATAAGTCCCTGCTTCACAGCTCACCCAAAAAATTCCTAGAAATGACCATGAAAGCAACACAGGCTATATATAAATGCTGCAATATACAGTAACACAATTAACTTTGATGGTCTAAATGATGAAATTGCCACACTTTCACCACATAGTTTAAAAAACCTAATAACAAGCCAAGGTGCAGAGCCATCAGTCAAGGGTGATAGATAGAAGTCATCTTTGCACATTGTGCTAATGTCATCTCTATAACATCATGTGGCTAGAAAGCAACTCGGCAAGCATGAGCTTCCATTATAAACCAACTGCTGCAACATCGCTTTGGACTGGATCTTCTGAACCATACATTGCCTTTCAACTGACAGTCATGTAATAAGACGGGAAATTTCACAGTTTAATTGTTACATTTTCTGAAACATTACCTGCCTGAACTCATTTGCTGCTCTTCAAGGTCTCTTGGACGATACTCACTTTCTTGCCTCTAAGATATGTCCCAAACTTGTGCTACCCAGATTTAAAAGTCCCCAATTTGCATTCACCCATTACCAGGGCTCACTAATCTCTTTTAGCCCCAGTCTAGCAATGCCACAATTTTAAAATTCTCACTTGGAACATGAAAACCTCCACAGGCTGAAACCACTCCCCATATCTCTTGAATCTGTGTAAAACCTTGCTTATCCCAACATTAAATATATTCAACATGGTATCGATAATTCTTTTGAGGTAGAGAATTCCCAAGATTCACAAATCTGTGAAAACTTTTTAATGACGATGCTATATAGCTGTAAATTGTTTAGATTCCAGAAAACACTCACCTAACCGTCTCTCTGGATCATACTCAATTAGTTTACTATTGTAAATAGTACGGACTCTTAATTGTCTCTTGACAGCAGCAATCAGAGGTGGACGTTGAAATAATGCTCCAGTCAACATCTCCAAGCCCTAAGTGAGAAACACACGAAGGTCTACATAACAGTGCTGAGCAGTTCAACTATAAATAGACAGACATAATCCCTCCATTAAAATTAGTTATTCATGAAATGGAAATTAACTTTGAATTTTCTATATCACGCTGAACTGAATATTAAAATCACAATACATTCATAACTTGGAATTCTAAACGCAATGCCCCCAATATATAGTCAGAAGTTATGACTAATTAGAACTATTTACGTACGTGATCAGACTGCATCATTCATCTTAGTAGAATTAGATCCTCGAAGGATTCAAATTCTGCCAAACCATCTCACATCCACATACATCCAATCAGGCACCAGTAACTTCTCAGCAGAACGCCAAAAAGTCACATGGCACAAGATGAATATATTTCACCCAAAGCCTTAAACAAGACTCAGCGTGCTGTGAAGCAAATGGTTAGCATCACTCGGCGAATGGATAAACTTATTCATCATTTCACGTACACAGTGAAGCACTTAGATTAAGCACTGAACAGATAAAAACAAAGACAGTCAGAAATAGCTAAATCTTGGAATAGGCACAAACGAAGATGATCTTTAAATGCATAACTTCTGGTCAACACATACCAAGTAATCTAAACTTGTCATGATGAAATATGTTTGCATCCCTAACTTATTGTCAACTGTCAGCTTGGGCAATCTGAGAAAATGAATAGGAACCCGCTCTATTCCTACAACTCCCACATATCATTCAATTTTAAAATTCATTTACATATTGTGGGTAACACTGTCTTATGCCAGTATTTATTGTCCAGAGGGCAGCTAAGAGTCAACCACATTATGATAGGTCTGGAGTCACATGTAGACCAGACCAGGTAAAGATAGCAGCTTCCTTCCCTATCCTCAAAAGTCCTTCAGAATCTTTAACAAAATAACTTGGAATTTTAAACTTGGACGAGCCCTAATAAGATAAAATAATACACAGGCCTACTTACCCGGCTAAGCTGATGTTCATTTTCAATAGCATTGTGCAGCCGAATAATTCCCACGTACTCTTTGCCTACAATTAATAGCACAAGAGTCGTCAGGACAGGCCACGTCAGTTACTGTATCACAAACTGTGATATTAACTAGCCCCAAACAGAAATGGCACCTTATAAGAATTGCTTTGACCTCACAGGATGCCCTATTCCCACTGAAGAATTACTAATGATATTAGGCAAAATTACCTACAGTGCACCAAAAACAAATTTAAGAGAAACCACGTCCAAGAATTTTACTGCACTGTGTTGGAAAGCAATAAAAACAGCACTGATGTTTCAGATCAATTCGAGTTTTCTATATCATAAATGAAAATGAAAGAATTAGATTTGTGATCAAACTTAATGTAACATATCTTGTGATTTTCCAAAAAGGCAGTGCTGCAACCAGACTGGTACAGGAAGTCACTTACCAGCACTCTGCTGGGATTTGACTAGTCGTGTTGCTCGTTCTATACACACGATTAGACATCCTGTTACTTTGGGATCCAACGTTCCACTGTGACCAGTCTTTTCCACCCGCAGAATCCTGCGTATCCATGCCACAACTTCATGTGAGGATGGATTTGCTGGTTTATCAAGATTAATAAATCCTGACCTGCCAAAATGTAGCCTGTATCAATATGCCTTCTAGTAACCATGATAGATCAAAAATTTTCATCAGCTCTTTAATTCCTTCTAAAAAATGTAACCATTCTTGCCCCCACCCCACTATCAACGGCAATATTTCATAAACAGGCAAGACAGCTAAAATGCACAAGCTTCAGTAATGCTTCATCCTGGATTATAGACATACCTTACATATTCAGAAATTTCCCTTTTGAGAGGTGAGCAGCCACTTGGAATAGGAGTGTAATGTGTTGTCCGTACATTCAGTTTGTCAAAATTCTGTAATACAAAGATTGGGTTCAAGAAAGAATTTGCTTGTACATAGCTTCAGGCTTCAATCTGTTGAACACTGTACCAACATAAATGCAGCAAGATCTTACAACTAACCAGATCTTTCAGTGATGTAGCCGAAAACAAAATATTGACCCAAAAACGGAAATATCTTCCTTTTCAAAGGATGCTAGGGAACGTCTAAGATGGCAAATTTGGTCTAGCTACTTAAACACAATGCGGTATTCCTTCAGAGTGTCTCTTAACTATGAGACTAGATTACGTAATTGTTTTAAGTGAGCTTGAACCCAATGACTTTCTGCAGGCTGGGCAAGATAAACTTTTCTTCAAGTCAGGGCAAGATAAGGAATTCTATTCTATGCACAAACAAAATGAACGTAAACAGATAGAAACATGACCATAACACATTCACAAACTATCTGCAGATTAATAATAATTTATAACCATAACTGTATATTTAAATGAGATTACCTTTAGTAACAAAGGCCAATGAGACGTGTCTAGTTTCACTGTTTTTGTCTGTGGTTCGATTAGAAAATCGGTCTCCTGCTGGATACTCTGGAAGCATAATAAAGAGTGCTGACTTTCAAGTCCCATTAGCACAACATACTCTGTCCACAATTAAGAGTACAACAAATTACCCTGCCTAATACAGCAGCTGCCATCTGTATCAAGTCAACTACATTGCACAAGGTCTGGTATTTTGATATAAAATCAGAAAATGCTGGAATTACTTGGCAGTTCCAAGCTGAGGAACAGGAACTCAAACAGTCTACGGCCTTTTCTGTTCATTATAGAATTCAACCATTTCAGATTGTATCTTTTCCCTCAAATTTGTTTCTGTTCTTTTGTTAGTTTTGGCTATTTCTTTATTCGTTCCTGTGCATTTGGACAGTAGTAATGTAAGCATTCACACCTCACCTGGACACATGCTCCTTTACTATATCCATCCCCTGGACTTATATCATTAAACTTTATGATTTACAACCTTTCCTGCCTCCAGCTTATCCTTTCTCCTGCTTTACATTTCAAACTTCTATCATTCTCAATTCTGATTAAGCTTTCAAGCTATAACAAAGCTAAATGCATCAATGACAATTTCTCATGAACGAGTGATAGTCAACCAGTGACATTGGCAAAGCTATTTATGATTGACGACAATGGGCAATGAATCACAGCACTTCAGATAGCCTTTGCATTAGAAACTAAAAAAAGCTGCAGAAACCTCATCATTCGAGCTGATATCTCGCTGTAAAAAGCTTCATGCTCCACATGCTGTTTCTCACAATGCAAGGTTAGAGGACAAAAATCTAACATTAGCATCAATTATTTATTATTAATAAATGACTTTTTTTAAGGGTCTAATGACAGGAAAAATTGCAAATGCAACAACTCCAAGAAAGGAGGGAGGCTGAAATCTGGAAACTACAGGCTAATTAGCCTAGTGTCTGTCATTAGCAAAATGCTGAAATTCAGCTTTAAGGATGCAGTAGCCGGAAATTCAGAAAATCGTGTCAACTCTCCCTCAAAGAGCACGTCAAAGAAGGAAAAGCAAAATGGGGAATTATGTCACGCATCTGCTTTTCCAAGGGGCATGAAATAAAGTTGCCATGTAAAATCTTAAAACATTGGGGGCAATAACAGCATGGTTAGAAAATTAGCTAACTGGCATAAATTGAAGTTTGGATAAATGGGTCATATCTAAGCTAGCAAGATGTATTACAAATTGGCATCTCAACTACAAACAATATTAATATTTCGGATTAAAGGAGTCACATTTTCTGACTATAAAAAGCAAACAGTGAATAAAATCAAGTTTACAATGGGATGAATTAATTATGTGGGTCAAGCATTGATAGATTGAGAATCATATAGGATATGTGAAATTGGCTGCTCTGGTGCAAAAAAAATAGAAAAGCAGGACATTCTTTAAATGGACGCATTCATTAACCTTAGCAGCATGAGCTGACACACACTGTCATCATGTGACATCACAAAAGTAATGGTTGGCAATACACAAATAATGGAAGGGAGGCCCAACCCAGCTCCCTGTGAACGCTCCGCACCACTGGTCAGCGGCAAACAGAGAGGCCGAACCCTCTCTTCCCTCCACTCCCTCGCAGACTTTACTGCTTCCTGCAGCAACTTGGACACTGGCTTTACCCTAATGGTGATATCATATCATTTTGGTACAATCACTCCACATTTAAAATCACACAACATCATGGTACAAAGAAACCAAAGTATACTTGTGCATAGATCTCCAAGTTGGCTCACAGGCACAGCAAATAGGTGGAATCTGCAAATAGTGGAGGAAATGCAGGCAGTGCGTCTGATTGATTTCTAGGAAGAAAGGGTTGTCTCATGAGGAAAAATCAAGCACACTGGGCCTTGAGTCAATGTGGAGTTTAGAAGAACAAGGTGGTCTTATTGAGATACAAGTTGGGACTTGACAGCGTAGAAACTGAGAAAGTCATGGGGAATCTGGAATTAAGCGAATTTCAAATTTATTCATTAAGAGATTAAAAGTGAAGAGAAATTTGTTCTCAGGGGATTGTTAATGTCGAATTCTCTACTACAGAGAAATGGAAGTTGGCTCATCAGATATATCCAAGGTTGACCTAAGATATATTTTTGTTCATCGGGGAATCAAGAGTCACAGTGCACAAGTACGAAAGTGGCACAAGGCCACAATCAGATCACTCTTATTGAATTGCTGGGCAGAATGGAGGGACCAAATGGACTACTAATGAGCCCATAAGATGCAAAAAAGTGGGCCATTCACCCTTCAAGTTCTTCGTCATTCAATGAGATGACAGATGATCTGATAAATCTTCAACTCAACTGAGTACAGGAGTTGGGAAGTTGGGTTGAGGTTGTACAGGACATTGGTGAGGCCTCATCTGAAATACTGTGTCCAGTTCTGGTCACCAAGTTATAGGAAGGATATTATTTAGCCAGAGGGGGTTCAGAACAGATTTACCAGGACGTAGCCAGGTATGGAAAGTTTGAGTTATAAAGAAAGGCTGGGACTTTTCCATGGGAGCACAAGAGGTTGAGAGATGACCTTACAGAAGTTTATAAAATCTTGTGGGCTTGGATAGGATTAATGGTAAATATCTTTTCCCTAGAACGGGGGGAATTTCAAGACCGGGGGCACATTTTTAAGGTGAGAGGAGAGAGATTTAAAAAAAGACAACAGGCAATTTTTGTTTTTTTTTTTTTAAACACAGAGAATGATTCCTGTGTGAAATGAACTTCCTGAGGAAATGATGGATGTGGGCATAATTGCTATGTTTAAAAGATATTCGAATAAGTGAATGCAAAGGTTTGGAGGGATATGGGCCAGGAGCAGGCAGGTGGGACTATTTAGTTTGGGATTATGTTCGGCATGGACTGGTTGGACCAAAGGGTTGGTTTCCGTGCTGAATGACTCTATGACTGTCCTGCCTTTTCCCAAATCCTTGATTCCCTCATTAAAAGTACCTTTCCTTGTCTTGAATATTTTTAACGGCCCAGTCCACTGTGGTGAAGAATTCCAGATTCACTACCCTCACAAAACAACCTCTCTACAACTACTGTGTCAAGAAACATATACTGGCCAAGGAGGCCACCTCTTATTCTTCTAACTCCAGCGAGTGCAGGCCCCAAACCGACTGAACCTCTCCCCATTATGAAATGCCTCCATACTCAAAATGCCAATCTAGTGACCTTTTTCTGGACTGCCTTCAATGCATACACCTTTCCTCAGATTAAAGCATCCAAATCTGAGCCCAGTATTCTAGGTGTAGTCTAACTAGTGGCTGGCATTGTTTTACCAAACTTCCCTATATTTATACTCCATTCTCTTTGATGGACAGGCCACAATTTCATTTTCCTTCCCTATTACCGGCTGAACTTGTACGCAAGTTTTTTTTGTGATTAATGCACGAGGAGCCCTAAATCCCGTTGCTGCCGCTCCCTGTATTTCTCCATTTAAAAATATTCAATCTGTGTTTCTTTCCAAAAATGCATAACGCCATTTTATAACATCTGCAAGTTTCTACGCTCACTTAATCTGTCAACTTCTCTCTACAGACCTTTTTTCTTTCATCATTAACGGGATGAGGGTGTCGCTGGTTAGACAGCCATTAATTGCCATCCCTAACTGCCCAGAGGGCAGTTCAGACTCAAACACATTGCTGTTGCTCTGGAGTCACAGGTAGGCCAGACAAGGATGGCAGTTTCCTTCCCTAAAGGACATTATTGACAATGAATTCATGGTCATCATTATATTCTTAATTCCAGATATTTTACTGAATTCAAATTCCAGCATCTACCATGGTGGGATTTAAACCCGGGTCCCAGAATTTTATCTGGGTCTCTGGATTAATAGTCCAGTAATAATACCACTAGGCCATCACCTACCTTTTGTGTCATCAAAATCATTAACAGATTGTAAACTGTGGTCCCAGCACTGATCCCTGTGGTAGTTATAGTTTGACATCCTTAAAATCCTTATCTCAACACTATCTTCTATTTGTTAGGCAATCTTTGACTCATGCTAATGCACTACTCAATACCATGGGCACTAAACATCATGAAAGAATTCAAATAAATGTCAGGCATGAATATCCATGATGCCATGTTGCCTCCATTTGAATTTAATATGTATTTCTAAATACATTTCTACTACACACTTTAAAATAAGCTTTTTCCCAATTACAGATGTTAATCCAACTACCTACAGTTATCAGGTTTTGTCTCCATTCCTTTTTGAATAAATGTTGTTATGTTGGAAAACTGCCAATCTCACCGAGGACACTTCCAGAATCTAAGCACTGTTGGAATATTACTGTCAGTGCCTCCAACATTTCTGTAGCTCCTTCCTTTAACATCTGAGATTGCTACCCATCATGTCCAGGGAATTTATTGGCTTTTAGAGCCATGAATTTCCCTTCCAACAGAGATTGCGTTTATGTCATCTCCAACTCTGCTCCCACATTTTGCTCCTTGCTTCACTTCTTGGACAATTTCAGACAGTAGTACGAATTCATTTTTGCACTCCATGCAAGATATGAAAGTTAAATACCTACCCCAATTCCTTCTCCACTTTTCTTCCTTTGCTTCTTTTGTTTTTTAATAGATGCTGCAGACGACAAACAGGGATGGTTAGAATTCCTCAACAAACTGAAGATTCAAGTTGTATCAGAGACAGTAGGAACTGCAGATGCTGGAAAATCTGAGATAACAAGGTGTAGAGCTGGATGAACACAGCAGGCCAAGCAGCATCATAGGAGCAGGAAGGCTGACGTTTCGGGCCTAGACCCTTCATCAGAAAGGGGGGGGGGGGGGTGGAAATTCTGAAATAAATAGGGAGAGAGGGAGAGAGGGGGAGGTGGATAGAAGATGGATAGAGGAGAAGATAGGTGGTGAGGAAACAGACAGGTCAAAGAGGCGGGGATGGAGCCAGTAAAGGTGAGTGTAGGTGTGGAGGTAGGGAGAAGATAGGTCAGTCCAGGGAGGACGGACAGGTCAAGGGGGCGGGATGAGGTTAGTAGGTAGGAAATGGGGGTGCGGCTTGAGGTGGGAGGAGGGGATAGGTGGGAGGAAGAACAGGTCAGGGAGGTGGGGACGAGCTGGGCTGGTTTTGGGATGCGATAGGGGGAGGGGAGATTTGTGGCACTGAGGAATGGGAGGGGGAGTTGAAATGGTTCACGACTGGGAAGTGCAGTTGTTTATTGCGAACCGAGCGTAGGTATTCTGCAAAGCGGTCCCTAAGGCCCTCCCATTCCTCAGACGACATGTCCATACTGGGCCTCCTGCAGTGCCACAACGATGCCACCTGAAGCTTGCAGGAACAGCAACGCATATTCCGCTTGGGAACCCTGCAGCCCAATGGTATCAATGTGGATTTCACAAGCTTCAAAATCTCCCCTCTCCCTACTGCATCCCAAAACCAGCCCAGCTCGTTCCCGCCTCCCTAACCTGTCCTTCCTCCCATCTCAAGCCACACCCCTATTTCCTACCTACTAACCTCATCCTGCCCCCTTTGACCTGTCCGTCCTCCCTGGACTGACCTATCCCCTCCCTACCTCCCCACCTACACTCACCTTTACTGGCTCCATCCCTGCCTCCTTGACCTGTCTGTTTCCTCTCCACCTATCTTCTTCTCTATCCATCTTCTATCTGCCTCCCCCTCTCTCCCTATTTATTTCAGAACCCCCTCCCCCCCCCCTCCCCCTCCCCTCCCCCATTAATGATGAAGGGTCTAGGCCCGAAACATCAGCCTTCCTGCTCCTATGATGCTGCTTGGCCTGCTGTGTTCATTCTACACCTTGTTATTGAAGATTCAAATTACTGGATGTACTCCCACATTGGAATATTTCAAAACGGTAAAAACACTGTACCAAAATGCATGCACTTATTAATGGTCGTTTAACACTTTCAGACAATCAAAAGCAAGTTACTATCTGTTGCCATATGGTTGTTTCCTCAGACATAATGCAGCAGGTGATCAGTATGCAAGCGAAATCAATGCTGCTGGCCAACAAAAAAACTGCAGATGCTGGAATCCAAGGTAGATGAGCAGAAGGCTAGAAGAACACAGCAAGCCAGGCAGCATCTGAAGGAAAGGAAAAGTCAACATTTTGGATATTACCCTTCTTCACGACTCATGTCCAAGGGAGGCAGAAAACATCTTCAAAGTGGGCATCCTTTGAAGGGACTTTGCAGTGGTATAAACTTAGTTAGAGACAAAAAAACTGCAGATGCTGGAATCCAAGGCAGGCAATCAAGAGGGTAATACCCGCAACTTGACCTCTCCTTTCCTCCAGATGCTGTCTGGCTTGCTGTGTTCTTTCAGCCTCCTGTTTGTCTACATTAATTCACCAGCCAGAGTTTACATTAAGTGAATAATTGTATAAGTCATCCTGGTGTAGAAGGCTAATATGAATTCATCACGGGGCAGAAAATGATGCTGCATGAAATTCGTGTATAAGATATAACGCACATTCTGGTTGAAATCGCTTGTCTAACTACTACGGCATTTAATCTCAGAAGGCAGCTTGCCAACCACGTACTTGTAGTTGTGAAATGGAAATGGAATCTGTGGTTGGAAATTCGTGGCGATGACAAACAGCAAACCGAGCTGCCAGGCCCGGCGCCATGCGGTGCGGCCACGTGTTCGGCGCCGATTAGCGCCAGGTGCCTGTTCCCATCCATCCAGAGCCCAGGGAGATGCTGGCGATATCCCCCAGCCACCAGGAAACCGCCGACATTCCGAGCAACCACCAAAAGTGGGAGTGTGGGGTGCCAGTTAGAAGGTGCGCGAAAAACCCTCTCCCCCTTACAGGCCGCGGCCTCTACCTCCCTCCCAGCAGTCAGCAATGCCCTCAAGCCACCGTGATGCCAGCTTCACTCTCTCCCCTCAAACAAGTCTGCAAAATGCAGATCGCTCTCTGCTACCGTCTTAATTCCGATTCCGATTCCTCCCCCCAACCATTGCCCTTTACCATCTCCATCCGCCATCTTCTCGCTCCGATCCCCAAATGAAGAAGCGCGCTCCACTTCGCGCATGTCAATTAATGTCCCGCCCCACAATGCACTACTGCGCGCATGTCAATTATACGTGGGGGTGGGACGGGAGGGGGTGGTGGATGGAAATCGGCGCATGCCCAGTCCGGGCTATAAGAAGAGCCTGTCAATGGTGAAAATCTGAAATATAGCTGCCCGCCAAAAATAAAATGCAAAAATATAGAAATATTAGAAGGGCAGGATTTTGACCCTATTGTCGGAACGGCAAAGCGGTAGTATACACATATACGGAAAGGGGGAAAAAAAAATGAAAAGTCAGTGATCGGCCGGAAGCAGGAGAAATTCGAAGACGAATGATGGTGCATAATAAATGAAATGAGACATAAAAATAAGATCAGTCTAACGGAGACGTAAATGGGATTAGCATGATTATCAGCGAATGCTCCTGGATAAAATACATGCGGTATTTGTAGAATCGTAGAATTCCCAACAGTGTGGAAGCAGGCCATACGGCCCATCGAGTCCACAACGACCCTCCGAAGATCACCCCACTACCCTATCCCTCTCACCCTGCATTTCCCATGGCTAATTCACCTAGGCTGCACATTTGTGGAGACTGTGGGCAATTTAGCATGGCCAATCCACCTAATCTGCACATCTTTGGACTGTGGGAGGAAACCGGAGCTCCTGGAGGAAACGCATGCAGACACGAGAGAATGTGAAAACCACAGTCACCCGAAGGTGGAATCAAATTCGGGTCCCTGGTGCTGTGAGACAGCATTGCTGACCACTGAGCCATTGTGCCACTCATTACGATCAACCTGCTGAACTCGAGGCAAGAAGGTTGTAAAGTGTCTCAATATTTGAGTTGGTATTTCTTAAACTTATGTTGGCTCATTAAATAGTCAAGTTCAGAGAGATCTGAGTGGAATAGGGGAAAGGGAATTAGTTTTGCAGTCCACACTTGACAGAAGTTTTCCGAGGACTCCCCATTTGGTTCCATATCTGCCTCTACAGATAATTTAAATCAATTTATTGCTAATCTATCTAGGATATGAGGAAGGGTGCTTGTAGTGCTGTATCCCTATCACTGAGCCAGGAAACCCAGGTTCAAGTCTCACCTGTTCTGGAAATGTGTAATAACATTTCTGAATAGGTTGATTATAAATATCTATTTAGGACATAAGTTTTACCTTCTAATCCAGAGGCACCATCCCATAGCAGTACACCATACCTTTATTCTTCCTTAACTACCACAGGACATGGAGTCAGAAATCACCACTTGAATTAGGGTGTGTGCATATACTCGTCTATCAGGTTATCAAAACAGCATTCAACCTCAGCATGTGAACTGCACTCTGCTTGATAACAACAGACAAGAGAAGCAAGAGCTGATTCTGCTGCTAACATTAGTCTCATCATCGTGAGCCTCAATTTTGCAGCATAGATAGTAACCTTCAGCCAATCATGTCTGTGCCAGTCATCAAAACCCTTCAACTTCTGTATGCTATGGTGTTTTAAAGTGATCATCTAAATACTTCTTAAATATTGTGGTAAATCTTGCATCTACCATGTGTTTAGAGACCGAGTTGCAGTCAACTGCCACCTTCTGCATGAAAAAAACTTCCTTAAATCCCTCTAAACCTGCCCTTTTCTTTAAATCTATGCGCTGTGGTTATTGATTCTTCTAAAATGTAGAATGGTTTTGTATTTATTGATGCTCAATTTTGTACACCTCAATCAGATTCCCTCTCAGCCTTCTCTGGTCATCTCTGCCTGAGTCCACACAGACTTTTCACAACACACTTTAGTACAGTGAAAAGTGTATTATGTCACCAGACATGAAGCCATCTTAGGTACAAAGGTACCGAGGTACAAGAAAAACTTTGTTTCTCTTAATAATTTGTACCGGAGTTAAAAAGTTAACCATTACCTTGATCAAGTAGAAAAATAAATGTAATAGTTAACATTAAAGTCTTTTTTAAATTTAAACTAGAAAATAAGGAATTAAGTTAGAAGTTTTTATAAACTCCAGTCACAAGTTATTAACTGTAGTGACTGCCAACCATCTGCAGTATAACTACCAACTTTGGCAAGAGTCTCCATTTTTGTCCACTTGTGCTGAAGTTAACCTGACATACACTTGCAATAGATACTTCTACATCTCAACAGAATCAGTACTCAGCACCAGCGTAAGTTTCACATTAAAGTATAAAAGAAAGACATGTTCAATTGAAATGTTTTGTATAGAGAAATGGCCGAGTGGCTTTTACGTAGAGAAAAATGATTGTGCTTCATTACGGAGGGGCCGTAGAAGCAAAGAGATTGAGAACTCTAGAAAGTACCACATTGAAAATGTTTTGAGATTTCGTCTTGAAGTGATATTTGGGGCCTTGGGGATCCATGGGGCTACACAGCACCGTTTCCCGCGCTTGCTCAAATGGACAATATTAACAACTTCGTCTCCAATTTCTACCTCCTTCCCATTCACAAGGTTCATCTCAACCCTTTCCCTTTCTCAATTTTTAAATTTCTATTTCCTCAAATAAATTACTGACCAATATTCACCATTATGCCTCTGGTCTCATACAGGTATCTCAAGTACCTTTCCTCCCACCCCAATCTAGGAGCTGTTATTCCATTTTCCCATTCTTTATGCTTTTATTTCACCAGTTTTAGAATTTAGACAGGAGCAACAGGAATCCACTCAACCCCTTTATCTGCACAGTCAGCCATGAATATCATACCTGATCTTTGCATCCCCATCAGCTGGGTTGAATGAACTTAAACTCACCATTCATAGATTGCTGAGGATAGGAAATTTCAGAAGATTCACAACTCTTCATAAGAGTGAAGAAGTTTCTCCATCCTAACTGTTAGCTCTGTAAGACAAGATTGTGAATGCCCCTCATTCTAAATTCCCCAACCAGAGGTAAAATGTCCTCCAAATACCTACATTGTTAAGTTTCTTAAGAACGTTAAACATTCATCGAGATACATACAAACAAAGGGGTAGGCAATTCAACTCAGGTCTTGACTGCCATTTCATAAGATAATGTCTAATCTGATAGTCATCTCAAATCCACATTCCCTTCTATTCATGATAACCTTTCACTCCTTTGCTTCACGAGAATCTATCATCTCTGCCTTAAAAATATTAACAGCACTGCTTTCACCGCCTTCCTAAGCTGGTAATTAAAAAGACTTGTGACTTTCTTAAAAAAAAAATTGTCTCATCTCTGTTTTAAATGGGAATAAGTTAATTTCTAAACAAGTGACCCCTAGTTCTGGAGCAACTCTTTCTTCTAAACTGCAGGTATACGGTCTATTTGTTCTCTGCTCATCCTGAGAGATTTCTGGTGTATTTTTTTGTTCAACATAGTAAGTAGGAGTAGGAATAGCTCATTTGCCCCCTCGGGTCTGCTCCATCATTCATTTTGATCATTCAACTCAATACTGTATGTTCTCCCCACCCCACCCCACCCCACTCCTTGTATGCCCAAGTGCAATATGCAATTCGTTTTTAAAATTGTGCAATGTTTTGGCCTCAACAGCTTCCTGCGGTAACAGATTCCACAGGCTTTTCACTCTCTGGGTGATGAAATTTCTCCTGATCCAAGTACTAAATGGTTTACCCCATATCCTTAGACTCTGATCCTTGCTTCTGGACTTCCAAGCCATCAGGAACATCCTTTCTGCATCTACTATGTTTAGTCCTGTTAGAATCTTATAAGTTTCTATGAGATCGCCCCTGAACTCCAGCAAATGTAATCCAAACTGATTCAACCTCTCCTCATATATTAGTCCTGCCATCCATATGTTGAGCTTTCACTGCACTCCATCTATAGCAAGAGCATCGTTCCCCAGACAGGGAGGCCAAAACTGCATACAATATTCCTGATGTGGTCTCACCAAGGCCCTATATAATTGCAGCAAGACTTCTCTGCTCCTGTGCTCAAAATCTTTTGCTCTGAAAGCTAACATATGATCTGCCTTCTTTACTGCCGGTTGCACCTGCATGTTTACCTTCTGCGACTGGTCTACAAGGACAACCAGGTCACATTCCCTCATTCAGTTTATAGCCATATTAAAGTTATCCCATCTTCCAAGGCCAGTTTAAAAGTATTCTTAAATCAACATGTTCAGACATATGACATGTCTAGGGCAGTTAGGATTTGAATACAGTCCTTCTGGCTCAGAGATAGGCACTCTACAGCTGCGCAATAAGAACCTCTCCCAAGGCACATATACCTTTCCTAACAAAACCAAAAATTGTACAGAACATTCATGGTGTGGTCTTAAAATGAGCTAAATGGTTGTAGTAGATTTACTTATTTTTGCATTCCGATCCTTTTATAGACTAGCAATATTTGCATATCTACATTGTTTTCTGTACCTAAAAGTTCATTTTGTGACTCATGCACAAGAACATGCAGCTTCCTCTAAATACAATATTTCTCAGTCTCTTACAATTCTAAATATTTCATGTTTTTTTTCCTGAAATGAATAGCTTTGACTTATTCACATTCTATTCCATTTGTCATATTCTTGCCCCTCACTTAACATGTCTATAAGCACATTTATCTCTCCCTCACAACTTACTTTTGCAAGTAATTTTGTAAAGTCAACAAACTTGGATGCATTGCTTTGATCCTCCATAACACATTCTTATGGATTTAAAGTAGTTGATGACCTGATCCATACAGCATCCTATTAGTTACAGCCTGCCAAAAAATGAAAATCTATTTATTCCCACACTTTTTTGTCTGTTAAATAATCTTCAATCATTGCCAAAATATTACTCAATCCCCTGGGCCCCATTTGTAGTAAAGATGTGATATATTTTATCGTAGGCTTTCTGAAAATTTAGAAGATATTACATTGTGTAGTTCCCTGAATATACATTATTGCAACCTCTAAAAGTTTACAATATTTTTGATAAAGCTGTTTTCAATTTCATAATTTTACGTCCACTCTACCCAAACTTATGATAGAACATTGCTAATAATGGATCCTAGCATTTTCCCTACTATGGTGTCAAACTTATTGGCCTATTCAATTTTCTCTTTCTCCTCCCTTTCGAATAGCTGCGTTTACAACCTAGATTTAGTATCTTCTCAACTTCCTTATATCACATTTAAAAACTTTGTCTGAAAAGACAAAAAGTTTCTGAATTGCCAGAAATATATGGGTGGAACTTAAGTTGGGTATTAGTTCAAAACACTCTAATATCCAGAACTGATCTGTATAAAGCATGGAACATAAATATTATTCAGAGGTCACATGACACAGGTTTATAGTCCAACAGGTTTATTTGAATCACTAGCTTTTGGAGTGTTGCTCCTTCATCAGGTAAAGACTTCAAATAAACTTTCAAATAAACCTGTTGGGACTATAACCTGGTGTCATGTGACTTCTGACTTTGTCCACCCCAGTCCAACATCGGCACCTCCACATCATGAATGTTACTATGCTTTTACTAGGCTTTGCATAAAATACTACCCATAATAGTGCGGTTGTTAACTGTCATATAAAGTGATTATGGGTGGAAAAGCCCAGTTACATGTAACATGACTGAAACAGATGTGTTTCGTTTAGCATGTGCAACATAGACTACGGGATTTCAAGTTGACACAGACTACATATTAGCAAGCGGCAGCCAAGTTCAAATTAAAGCACTATAAACTACAAATGCTGTTAAACTAAACAACATTTAGTGTAGAGAGCATGTTGTTGATCTTGTTGTTCAAGCTCATCACACTAGTCCTTCATGAATGATTCCAAATCACAATTTCTTTGCCAACTGTATACAACGAATTTCACTTTACATAATTGGAATAATAAACTTCATTAATCCATTAGGAGGAGGGTGGGTCAAAATGAAAAGAAGGGCAGTAGTTGAAAGATAATAATAATTAAAGCTTTAAAACTAACATTATGGTTCAGCAGGGCAAACTAAATATAATTTGTGAAACTGTCTCATTCAGTGAATATACAGTTCATCAAGATCTTTAAGATGCTCCACCAGCAATTCATAGTTCAAAAAAGTAAATTTAAAATTCAGATAGATGTCAAAACTCTGAAGTCAACAAATTGTATACGAAGTTCAGAAATTTGTTTTTCAAATCTCGATCCCAATGAATCTTGCAGTGTTCAGTACATCATCTCTCACCAGGTAACAGCCACACAGGCGACGGTATCCAGTAAATGCATCACGTCCATGAAGGACTCTCCAATTATCAACAAATAAAACCTATAGTAGATACAAGCATTCACTTAAAATGTTACAATTTCAGTACATGTGGATCAATTTTGACTTCCCAATGAGAAACAACTACTACAAAACAATGTTAAATAGCATTGTTCTTTCATCACAAATACTTATTTCAAAGACTGATGCAGAGAAGCATTCAAAATCCAAAAACAACTTTGGTATATAGCTCATTGGTACTCTACTTATGAAAGTACTTTGACCCTCTTTGCCTCATACAGATCACTGTGAAAATGTACAAAGTAACACCTGAGACTCATCTGCTCTTAGGACAACCAGATATCACATCCAACAGGCAGTGACTGAGATAAGTGGCTGTTCAAATGCAAAACACCATCTTAAGCAGCTCTACATAATTTCTTAAATAATTACAACTGTAAAGGGGTTGAGTTTTCAAAACTTCAACCATTAAAATCAGAGTAAATGAACCTTTACATACAGACGAAAGTTTGACTTTCTTTTTCCTTAAAAATGCTTTTAATGTAGGTTGTGAAAGTACAACCTTTAACATAAACAAAAGGGAGATGGGTAAGAAACATTTAGTGAAAAACTACAAGAGCAGCAGGAATAATACAGTTTGCTTGCTACAAAGCTTATAACACTACTGCTCAACCAGAGCATTTACAGAACAGTAAACTTCAAACTTACAAAATTCACAACTGCACAAGTTGGAATCAATGTTCATCATGGATTACGCATAAAATATTATGCACAATATGCTATATCTTGTGTCCTCGAAGCTCTTTGTTGGACATGCCTCTTCAAGAGATGAATGAGTTGGCGTTGAAATGAGGTATGTCCAGGAGAATTTCCATATATCATAAATAATTCGATATACATATGTTACACATCTCCATACGTATAAGTCTAATCTGAACTGTGCAGAATTAGTCAAAGTTTAGAGACAATAGATGGTGATGTTACTTTCAATAAGTGGATTGAACATGCTTATACAGGTGATATGTAAATAATTGTTCTGATATGTAGGTAAGTGGGGTGGGGAGGGGCCCTGGGAGTAGGGGTGTGAAATAATTTATAACTTAACATGTTTTCATCCACAACAGAATGGATGACTACTGATAGCTGCATGAAAGCTGTCATGTTCTGTGATCACTTAAACCGTCATGAATCTAGTCGCCTGCCATTTCAATAAACTACTGTGTTCCTATGCCAACACTTGGGTCTCAGGTTTGCTGTTCTGTTCTGAAAAAATGTTAGTCCTGTTTTCTCTCCAAAGATGCTGCTGAGTTTCTTTAGCAATGTCCGATTGTTTATTATAGATCCAAGATTCAGGCACTTGCTCAAATAGTAGGCCATTACTACAGTTCCAGGTGGGTAAATGGATCTTGCACTAAAACTAACTCACACAGTCCTTTTGGAAAGTACTTTGTTTTTAAAAGTATCAATTTGTCTTGCAAAAGGAAGCGATTCTACCAATTCAAGCAAATGAATACACTGGCTTAATTGACATATGTACCCGCTAGCCATTTGATGTGAAACTGCAATGTTTAAGGGCTCTTGTGGCACATGGTAATGTCCCTGTCTCTGAACCAGAAGGCCTGGTTCAGATGATATGATATTACATATGTAATAACATCCCTAGAGCATGTTTATGTAAAATATCTACAAACAGTCAGCAGTGTTCAAAAGGCTTTTTTTTGCCCCTGTAACTGCAACATAGATAAATCATATTTACCACCACTGAACTTAACACCCAAACTGCAAGATGATTTACCTCCTTACCTTTCCAGGTTTGAGTTTCACCCAGATTTCATTCTCTGGTTTTCGGAGTTCTGTCGTAAGGGCTCGATGTGCAACATACCATTGATGAACAACGTCATGAGGTACTGTGTTTATAATGGTTCGGTCATAATTGTTATACCTGTTGACAAAGCAACTGTTAGAAAGATGCTGCTAATGAGATTTGAAACAAAGGAGCTGTTGCTAGAAGAGAGATCACGGGGTGATTTGGTAGCAATTCAAGTTACAAATAGAGGTGGGACACGCAAGGTAGAAAACAGACTATTCCCAGTGGTTGAGGAATCTAAAAGGGAACCAAAAGTAAACTGAAGTGTTGCAATAAGAGGAGATCCATGATTAAAAGCAAGAGATCTGGAGCTATGCAGGTAAACCTTTTGTTGCAAGGGTACCTTACTAGAAGTTAATACTTTACAGGCTGTATTAACATTGAAGGCAAAGCTAAAGTCATGGGATCAAGAAAGACAACTTTCTGCTTGTGGAGAACAAGGAGCAACATTGTTTTAGAAATAATAGGCTAATTACATACTGCAGTTTCTCTAAAACTAAAGGCAGATTCTCTCAGTTATCTTGAGAAAATACACAGGGCATAGCACTAAGCCACTTTGTCCAAGAGGTTTCAAGAGAAAGGAAGATAAAGAGATCACAGAATTGTTAAGGCAGGGAGGTAGTGTCCGTGCTGGTTCTCCAAATGTGCATCTCAGTGCCACTCTCTTCCTTTCTTCGTGTAACTTGAACATTATTCCTTTTCAAATATGCCTACATCTCTTCAAAGGCCTTAACTAAACATGTCGTCAGAGTCTGGCATTGCATTCCAGACTCAAACCAGCTTCTTCCCTGCTGTGACAACAAGGTGCAGGGCTGGATGAACACAGCAGGCCTAGGAGCAGAGAGGCTGACGTTTCGGGCCTAGACCCTTCATCAGAAAAGGGGGAGGGGAAGGGGGTTCTGAAATAAATAGGGAGGGAGTGGGAGGCGGAAAGAAGATGGATAGAGGAGAGGATAGGTGGAGAGGAAACAAACAGGTCGAAGAGGCGGGGATGGGGCCAGTAAAGGTGAGTGCAGGTGGGGAGTTAGGGAGGGGATTGGTCAGTCCAGGGAGGACGGACAGGTCAAGGGGGCGGGATGAGGTTAGTCGGTAGGAGATGGAGGTGCGGCTTGAGGTGGGAGGAGGGGATAGGTGGGAGGAAGAACAGGTTAGGGAGGCAGGGACGAGCTGGACTGGTTTTGGGATGCGGTAGGGAGAGGGGAGATTTTGAAACTTGTGAAATCCACATTGATACCATTGGGCTGCAGGGTTCCCAAGCGGACTATGAGTTGCTGTTCCTGCAACCTTCGGGTGGCATCGCTGTGGCAAAGCAGGAGGCCCAGGATGGACATGTCATCTGAGGAATGGGAGGGGGAGTTGAAATGGTTCGCGACTGGGAGGTGCAGTTGTTTATTACGAACCGAGCGTAGGTGTTCTGCAAAGCGGTCCCCGAGCCTCCGCTTGGTTTCCCCGATGTAGAGGAAGCCACACTGGGTACAGCGGATGCAGTATACCACATTGGCAGATGTGCAGGTGAACATCTGCTTGATGTGGAAAGTCTTCTTGGGGCCTGGGATGGGGGTGAGGGACGAGGTATGGGGGCAGGTGTAGCACTTCCTGCGGTTGCAGGGAAAAGTGCCGGGTGTGGTGGAGCTGGAGGGGAGTGTGGAGCGGACAAGGGAGTCATGGAGAGAGTGGTCCCTCCGGAAAGCAGATAAAGGGTGGGGAGGGAAAGATGTCTTTGGTGGTGGGGTCGGATTGCAGAAGGCGGAAGTGTCGGAGGATGATGCGTTGGATCCGGAGGTTGGTGGGGTGGTACGTGAGGACGAGAGGGATTCTTTTTTGGTTCTTATTGCGTGGACGGGGTGTGAGGGATGAGGTGCGGGAGATGTGGGAGACACGGTTGAGGGCGTTCTCGACCACTGGAGGGGGGGGGAAGTTACGGTCCTTGAAAAACGAGGACAACTGATATGTACGGGAGTGGAATGCCTCATCCTGGGAGCAGATGCGGCAGAGGCGAAGGAATTGGGAATAGGGGATAGCATTTTTGCAGGAAGGTGGGTGGGAGGAGGAGTATTCTAGGTAGCTGTGGGAGTCGGTGGGCTTGAAATGAATATCGGTTTCTAGGTGGTTGCCCGATATGGAGACCGAGGGGTCCAGGAAGGGGAGAGAGGTGTTAGAGATGCTCCAGGTAAACTTAAGGTTGGGGTGGAAGGTGTTAGTGAAGTGTATGAACTGTTCGAGCTCCTCGTGGGAGCACGAGGCGGCGCCGATACAGTCATCAATGTAACGGAGGAAGAGGTGGGGTTTAGGGCTGGTGTAGGTACGGAAGAGGGATTGTTCCACGTAACCTACAAAGAGGCAGGCGTAGCTTGGGCCCATGCGGGTACCCATGGCTACTCCCTTTAGTCTGATGAATAGACTGTCTGACTCCAAATAATGTTGATCTTGTTAATGTTGTTCTTGCCTAGAGGAAATCCTACGGGGTGTAACCTGAATGCCTCACTCTGTCCAAGTTTTTTTCACCCTATGATTTTCACTGTACTTAGGTACATGTAACAATAAATCAAAATCAATCAACCAACCAACCAACCAGTCATTGAAAGACAAAGATTTTGCTCATGTATTTTACTCACTGCATTAAATTTGAGCCACTTCTTGATTCTTTCAGGAGTGGGAACATTTTCTACTCATTTCTTTTGTCCAGATCTCTCATAACTTTGAATACTTTAATGAGATCGTCTCTCAGTCTTCACTTGAAGGTCTTTTCCAATCTACCTTCACTGAAATAATTCTCATAAACCTCTTCTGCATCCCACCCAATGCATTCACATCTTTCATAAAAATGTGGCATCTGGATCTGGATGCAATTCTCCAGATGAAGGTGAACGAGTACCTTGTGTAAATTTAATAACCACTTTGTCCTTGTACTCTATCCCCCCATTAACACTTAGAGTACTGTCTGTTTTATTAACTACATTCTCAACCAGTAACATATGCACATATACACCAAGCTCCAACTGCTCCTGTACTCCTTTTGAGTTCCGCCATTGTCCCTCATCATGTCTCTCCTACCAAAATATGTCACCTCACACTTGTCTGTATTGAACTTTACCTGTTACCTCTCCATTCACTTCACCAACCTGCCTATGTTGTCATGAAGTTCTACATTACCTTCCTCACAGTTGACAGTGCTTTCAAGTTTTTTTTCGTCTGTAAATTTTGAAACTGCACCCAACATATCAAGGTGTAGATCATTGACATGTATCAGAAAAAGCAAGGATCCCAACACTGATGCCTGGGGAAACACACCACAAATCTTCCACCCAACCCAACCAAGAATCAATATACCCTGTCACCCCCATCAAGAAACATCTATTAAACATTACTGTTTCTTGTCATTTAGCCAATTTTGGATCCGTGATGCCACTGTCCCTTTTTACTTCAGAAAATAAAAAAAAGGCAATTCACCTTAAAGATATTCTAAAGTTTCTGTTTCAACCATTTCTTAGACTAGTTTACAGTAATCATTGAAGGCTTACTGTATTTATTCATTGAAGCATCGATGCAAACTTTATTTAGAGAGAGAGGTAAAAGATGCTAAGGAAAATTAAACATTTTCCCTTCTTGGATTTTACTGCTATCTGTTGAAGGGAACTCTGTGTGGTAATACAAAATAATCTGTTGCCTCTTAGAGGCATAGAGATGTACAGCACAGAAACAGTCCCTTTGGATCAACTTGTCCATGCCAACCAGATATCCTAGATAAATCTAGTCCCATTTGCCAGCATTTGGCTCATGTCCCTCTAAACCCTTCCTATTCATATTCCCATCCAGATGCCTTTTAAATGTTGTGATTGTACCAGTCTCGACCACTTCCTCTGGCAGCTCATTCCATACACAAAATTGTACTTTAGGTCCCTTTTAAATCTTTGCCTCTCACCCTAAACTTATGCCCTCTAGCTTTTGATTCCCCCACACCAGGGAAAAGACCTTGTCTATTTACCCTATTGATGACTCTCATGGTTTTATAAACCTCTTTAAGCTCACCTCATTAGGTATAATTCATTATTCCAAGGATAAACATTCAGAACTGGTCCAATTCCAATCATGTGATTGTGGCATCCTCCTACATTCTCTATGTATTCATGTTTTATTGGTACTTTAGTAAGCACTTCAAAGTTATGTGGATTTTCTTTTCGTACGTTTTCGGCAGCATGAAACCCATCCTGCAACAGTGTTCTTCCACCAGTTCCGTCATGCCTCAAACAATGGAACAGTTGAACTCTATTAAAAAGGATACACAAATAGGCAGAAGTCAGCTGTATGGAAGGCATGAACTACAAGTTTATTTAGGACCCTATTAATGAAAACAGGGTCGAATACACAAAAGTTTGGTTTCTCGCTCATCATACAAACAGATTTCCCATCCCATGATATTCCCTAATTTCAACTTGAATACGGCATTTCCATGGTGGGCTTCAGAATTCACAGGTACCAGCTGACCTTCAGCACCTTATGCAAAGATTATTATTCAATTAATTTATTGAATATACATTTTAGAATTGCGCTTTAAATTTCGTATCAACAGAATGACTCTTCAACATCTTTGAGAAAAAAAGAAAGAGTTGGTTGTGACAGAATACCTCAGAAAATGTACTTCAGATTTTTTTTCCTGCTCTTTTTAAAAGGAAAGGCAGTCATACAAGTGATCTGGTGAGCCGTAATGTCGGAGTCAACAGAAAGACAAATCATGTGCCTGAATAGGCGACAAGAAATGAAACAGAAAAGCAGAAAAATGTCTTCTAATTCTACACTAATAAGAAATACACATACCCACAAGGTTCCTGAAAATAAGTAGTGTCTGTATGGCGATCCAGAGCCACCTTTGTGTATGCAGTGTCGCCACGAGAAAAATCCGAAGTAAAATCCCACATTCGGCCAAAAATAGACTCCCTTCAGAAACAAGAGAAAGAAGGGCAATTAATAACCACGTCAAAATACTTTTAGGATTTTAGAATATGTATCTATCCAGTCCCTACTCAGTAATTGAAATTATCACAAGTTGCTTGCTTTTTGAAAGTAAGAATAACATAACCAAGCACCTTCTTTACAAACCAACCAATTTTCCAGCCAGAAATTTTGACTTATATCTCTTTCTCTGTAGAAAGATAAAGAAGTCGGTAGCTCAATTCAAGAGTAACAGCAGCGCTGATTAGATGTTTAACAATCACCAAGATGAAGTTGCTGTTTCAAATCAATATCTTCATTTAATTCAAATAATTCGAGAGTTATGACCTTGTAATCCAACTTTAATTTTGAAGTGAATTGTTACAGCTTGATTTTCGCATCAGTTTGAATATTCAAATATATCATAACTTAATGCAGGAAGGATTCCTGATACAAGAAGCTTCAAACCATCAACAATGTAGCAAACCTGCTCCCAGTACTCAACCACTCCCAACCTTGCTACGTAAAATACAGAAACCAGTGAATTAACTATGTTCCTGGAATGGAGGAAATAACGGAACCTGACGACACAAGAGTAAAGTATCATGACATACACATCGATTATGAACCTTTTATTCAACCATTTGGGTATGTAACAGACTGGTTCCGGTAAAATGGCAGTGGAGCATTGCTTCTGAGCCCAGGGCCCATCCACTCTTCGTCTTTTTCTTTTAATTCCTCTCTTGTTTTTTTTTCCTCTTTTTATTCTACTACCTCTTGTTGAAGAGCTCAGGAATTCACAGTGACAGCATCGGCGGTGGCAAGTTGGATCAGCACAGACTTGTGGCAGTGGTGTCAGAGAGGCTTTGGGTGCATCAAGGAGGCGATCCTACTACCGATTCAGGGCTGCTGTGATGGAGGTGAGTTTGGGTTCCCAGCAGTATCTGCATCCAACACAGATTCATGGACGCAGCAGTCAAGGTGAGTTTGGCCCAGCACAGGACCCTGTGGTATCGGCAGTGGCTGCATCAGCGAGGTGGGTCCAAAACTGAAGTCGAGTTTGGGCTGGTACGGCACCTGGCAATGGCACCTACATTGAGGACTCAGTGATGAGGGTGTTGGTGGAGGCGAGATGGCACTGAAGAGTGGTGACTTTTGTTCCAGCGGTGGCGGAGTAACAAAGGGGCATAGTGGGGCACTTAACAAGATGAACTGTAAAGTTAACACTTTTTCTTTATTCTTCTGCCTTTTATATTCTATGTTTTGGTTTACTTTTCTGTGTTTTAAGATGGCACCAGATTGGCAACACTATACAACACTTTTCACTGTATTTCTGTAACAAAATACATGTGACAATAAATAAATCAAATCACTGCTTTTTTTTAAATGGGGATGTTCATGATCACAGTTAGAATTCCGAATGCACATAATTTAAAAGCATTAGTTATCACATTAAAATTATCTACAGTTTGGATTGTAAGTGGAAATGTAAATAACTGCACAAAGTCATACAGCCATAGAGGTATACAGCATGGAAACAGACTCTTTAGTCAAACTTGTCCATGCTGACTAGGTATCCTAAATAAATCTAGTCCCATTTGCTAGCATTTGGCCCATATCCCTCGAAACCCTTCCTATTCATATACCCATCCAGATGCCTTTTAAATGTTGTAATTGAGCCTGCCTCCACCACATCCTCTGGTAGCTCATTCCATACACGCACCACCCTCTGCATGAAAATGTTGCCCCTTAGGTCCCTTTTAAATCTTTCCCTTCTCACCTTTAACCTATGCCCTCTAGTTTTGGGCTCACTAACCCCGGAAGAAAGATCTTGTCTATTTACCCTATCCATGCCCCTCCTGATTTTATAAACCTCTATAAAGATCATCCCTCAGCTGGCAACGCTCCAGGGAAAGTAGCCCAAGTGTGTTCAGCCTCAGCCCTCAAACCCTGGCAACATCCTTGTAAATCTTTTCTGAACCTTTTCAAGTTTCATAGCATCCTTCCTATAGCAGGGAGAGCAGAATTGAGAATTGCAAGCAATATTCCAACAGTGGCCTAACCAGTGTCCTGTACAGCCGCCACATGATCTCTCAACTCTTATACTCAATGCATTGACCAATAAAGGCCTTCTTCACTATCCTGTCTACCTGCGACTCTACTTTCAAGGAACTATGAACCTGCACTCCAAGGTCTCTCTGTTCAGCAACACTCCCCAGGACCTTACCATTAAGTGTATAAGTCCTGCCCTCATTTGCCTTTCCAAGGTATCTATATTGTACTTATTTGTATATTCAATGGTATTCTAATTAGCACGAAGAACAGATCAATTTGGTATAAATCACATTTCACTTTAATATGGAATGCTCTAAAAGGTGTAGATGTATAAACTGAATAACAATGTTCTCTGGAAACCCTACAGCATAGCAATACAGAAAACACATTGATCTCCTTAATGGATTATGCATAATCTAGTTTGAATTTGAATGGTTGAGATTTTAAAAAAGACTACTCACTTCTAACCACCCCAGAGTTAAAACATCAAGACAATGTTTGCTTTCCAGCAACAGAGTTGTAGATGGTAACTTTTCATCTACTGTTCTCGGATTTTTCATCTGTTTCTGACTGCTTGTCTTGGTCTACAGTCCAAACGGTGATTAATCCTACTCTTGTAAATTGGGAGTCATAGTCTTCCCAAACAAACACTAACAGTGTAAAATGGCTATAGAGAAAGCAAATAGTGTTTTAGTTGCATATTGGGGTAACTCCTGTGTAACTATTGCACTAACCTCCCAACTGACCAATCCCCTCCTCATTACACCTCATTCAAATTCTGGGGCAAGATATCCCCACTTCCCACCTGGGACCTAATATCTACTCCCCTGCCAACTCCAGAAACCCTTCCCATAATCCTGGACACATATTTCTTATTGACCCTAAACAGGCCATCAATCACTGCCACACTACCTCTGCCCATCTGGCACCCTAACATCATACTTAGCTTGCATACTTAGCCTTTCACAGGAGATGTCAAAGTGGCTGATTGTGATGATAGACATCACAATCACAGAAAATGGCATTGACTGCCAAGAGCCTTTCCCTGGCTAATCTGCGTTGAAGGACCTGTCAGGTTTAAAGTACAGCTTCACATTTCTGCAGGACCCCTGATCAGAATATCCTGTCAGAAATGTGGAGTTATATTAATGTTAAAAAAAGAAATAGAGTGGAAAAATCCAGTCCATAATTTTATTGAGATGCACAAAATCCTAAAAGTGTATTTCTACAAGTCTTTGAAGGTGACAGGTCAAGCTGGAAAAGGCTTTTAAAGCAAATAGGATTTTGATCTTTATTAATAGAGATACATAGTTCCAATGCAAAGACGTTATGGTACCCCTCATACATAAGACATAATAATTAGAGCAAATAGATTTATATTAATTGGCAAAAGACCCTTAAGCTTTGTCTGAGTAATGTGGACAATTCAAGCATTTCAGTTTAAGAGATTCCACAACATATTTGAGGAATCTGCCATTAGTTGGCAAGGTAACTTATGGTGGACTTTGAGCTCCCTCATTTTGCTGAGAAGAATTGCATAGTCTTATTCCACCCACAAACTGGACCATGGGACTTCTCTGAAAAGGTTCTCCAAATTCTGTAACCTTCACCTAAGGTCTCTGTTAAGGAAATGGCACTGGGTGTAACAGTTTTAAAAAAAAAAATCACTCCTGTAAGGAATGAAGTGGCCTTTGGAAACACATTGGGTACAACAGTAAAAAACAAGTCACTCCTGCAAGTAACAGAGTGGCCTTTGATTAAGAGTTCATGATCTGTTACACACGTTGATATATTATTTTTTAAAAAGATTATTTGGATTATGCATCTTTGGAACAATAGGCCTTTGATCCACTCTGAGACCTGTCCCAATCACTTTGCATATTTATGGGGAAGATTAGAGCTAGGGGACACAGTTTAAGAACAACAGCCTTCCCTTTGAAGACAAAAATGACAAGAATTTTGCTCTGAGGATCATTAACCTATGAAATTTGCTGCGTCGGAACAGTGGAGGTGAATCATTGAATTTATTCAAAGCAGAGTTAGATAAGCTTTTAATAGATAATGGAGTCAAGGATTATTGATGGATGGTGGGAGTCAGACTGGAAAATGCAGTAGAGATTGCAACTTATTGAGAGATCAATCATGCTTTGAGTCGAATGGCGGAATAGGAGTAGGCTATGTTGCTATGAGAAGGCTAAGAAGGCCAAGGAAATGGCACAAAAGAGTTTTATTAGAGTGGTATTAGGGATATGCATGTTCATTTCCTTGGACACCAGAGAAGGGGGCTGTCGTCCTTGGTTACAGAACATAGGATATAGGAGAGATTTAATAGGTAGTATTCAAAATTACAAAGGACTTTGATAAAATAAATTGGCAACTGTTTCCAGTGGCAGAAGGGACATTGACTAGAGAACGTAGACTTACAATAACTGTCGAAAAAGTGGCAATTTTTAACATGTAGAAAGAATAGGCCGAACAACCTCTTTTGTGATGCCATTCTATATCAGTCTACAATTCCAAAGAGTAATTTCCAACTGTAATTGTGAGGATTTATTTGACCAAGTTTTGTCTATTCCAAGAGATTGTCAAAATATATTAATGTCCTGATAGTTTCTTTCAGGTGTCTCCCTCAACCCCAATCACTCCTCAAACTCAAGTTTAGATTGTATACTATTAAAACACACACATGAAGCATCTTCCACAAATTACAATCCAGAATTTTAATTCATTGCAATAAGATCTTGTTGCATTAATAATTGGCTGCAAGTTTAATTAATTTCATATATTTGCAGGGGTGACAGAAAACAATGCTGTCTGCTGTGTTAGAAAGTGTTATTTGTTTGGATATTGTGGTGACAGAGGAGGAAATCCAGTTACCGAAGGGTTTAAAACTGACGTGGAGGTGGTATTGGATAAGTAATTAAAATTGCTAATACTAAATGAGATGCATCCAAGGATACTGAAAAAGAGGAGAGAGTACACAGGCACTGAATCTTTGAATCTTCCCTAGATTCAGGGGTGATACCAGGGAACTTGTGAATTGCAAACACCGCACCCTTGTTTTAAAACACAGTTATAAAGATAAGCCCAGCAATTACACACCAATTATTCAGGATAGGAATAATAGTCATATGGAAGAATATGGGTTAATTCAGAACAGCAGTATGGATTTATTAAAAGGAAAATTGTGCCTCACTAACTTGCTAGGGTTTCTTTGAAGAAGTGCCAGAAAGGAATGAGGAGGGAAATGTTGTTGATCTGGTGTACATGGACTTCCAAAAGACTTTTGATACATTGCTGTATAACAGACATAAGAAAAGTAATAACTTGTGGAATAAAAGGAACAGTAGCAATGTAAATCCAAAATTGGCTCAGGGATATGGACAATTGTTCATGGTTATTTTTCAGGCAGGAGGAAGATTTCTAGCGGAGTTCCCAGGATCAGGATTGGAACCCTTGTCTTTTCTGATGTATTGTATATTATGTATAAATAACTGGCCCAACTCACCAAGATCTGGATTAATTCCAAAAGTTTGCAGATGATACAGGTTGCAAAGTTCTGAAGATATGTGAGGAGGACAGTATTGGTCGAGTAGGCAGATGTGTAGCAGCTGAAGTCTCATGCAAAGTGAGGGGTGATACATTTTGGTACAAAGAACATTCAAAAACAGCGTAAAGTAAACTACGACTCCAAAAGGGTATGCAGGTCCAGAGAGTTCTGTGTGGATATGTGCATAAGTTATCGAAGGTGGCAGGACAGGCAGAGATGCTGGTTATTACAACATGCAATATTCTAGACTTCATAAATAGGGGCACCTATTGCAAAAGCAGGGAGATTATGCTGACCTTATGTACAATACTAGTTAGACCTCAGTTAAAAGATTTTGAGGTTCCCAGAACTGTACACTTTAGGAAGAATGTGAATGCATTGACAGTACAAAAAAGGTTTATGAGAATGGTACCAGACATGAAAAACTTTAATTAAGGATAAATGGGAGAAGTTCAGACAGCAAGGGGAGATCCGATGCAAGTTTTCAAAATCAAAGGTCTAGACAAAGTATTTAAGGAGAAACTGTTCTGGACTATAAGAAGATTGAGAACCAAAGAACACAGATATAAAGCGCTTCACAAAAGAAACATACATGAGACAACAAAAAAAAAAATTCTGAGAGTAGCTATGGTCAAGAATGTACAGCTTAGGGTATGATGGAAGCCGATACAATTGAGGCATTCAAGAAGGCATTAGATGATTGTTAAGGCTGCCCATGACTCAGTGGCACAAAATGGCTGACAATTGCCCCAGTAAGCTCTGCAGAACACGGCTGACAGTAGTTAGAGCAAGTGAGAAAATATTTGCTTAATGTAGTCTCAGAAAGGAGAACAATAGCAGGTTTGCGTTAAATGAGATACAATGTGCAGCTGCAATTGCTTACATAGATAAGAACATTTTCATGCTAATTAGCTGTTTGTCTTAAATTATTTAATTAATCTGTTATAATATTAGGAGTAGGTTTTAGTTAAGATCCTTCACATAATCAGAGATATAGATTCCAAAGTAACTATAGATTCACTTATATATTTTTTTAAAAAATCACCAAAAGCATTAGAGGAAGAGATTCAAACCAGGTTCAGACAGCAAAAGTGCCCCACCCCCCTACCAGCACACCCCCCACCCCACCCTACCCCCCTTGCATGATACCAGTGACTGCTTGAATGAACTGCCATGTGCCTGAACTCTGCTGTCTCTTGATACTTATGTCCCATTTGGGTTGCTCATACAGTGATTGTTTAAATGAAAACAATACACGTTTATGGGGAAAAAAAAGGTAGAAGGACACCAAGCCATGATGGGTCAAACAGCCTCTTTATGCTCTGTTAGAGATCAGTGATTTTGTGATAGCTAAATTTTGAATGCTGGATACATCAGAAGTTGCAAATCAAAGGGCAAGAATTATTGAGTTACTGAGATGGTGAGGAAGAGGTATCCACACTTAGCACTCTGAATATCTCTTCAGGATACACAGTATCTGTAGGCATCTTGGAAGAAAGGTCAAAGTCTGGATTTAAAGCTTTCTGAAGAAGGCAGAGAAAGAATATGCCAGGCGTAGAGGGCAATTAGCAACCAGCAGTATTTCTGAGTTGAAGTCAGAAAGCAAAAATGCCGTGAGGCTCATGCTCGAGCCTGTATGTTCACAATTATGAAGAAGTACTGAAGGAAAGTTGAAGGATCAGCTAGCCAAGTGCTAGTGGAAAGGTCCCAAGAAATCTCGTACATCAGAGAAAACCAGGAACATGGAGAGGAACAAAGCAAATTCCTGAGAAGTGTGGCATTCCTTGGTTTGGTCACAGGAAAGGTGAAGGAACCTCTCAAGATTCTGCAAGTTAGTACAAATCTCAGCTGGAAATACAAGTAGAAAAGCGAGTGTTCCATTGAGATTTTGGGTCATGAAGAAGTGTTTATAAAATAGAGTGTTACAGCAGTGATACTTACTTTGTTTAACTTCTGTATAGTAACTCTTTGGATACGAGATCTCATGGTGCGATTCTGTTGATACCCACAAGTTTGAAGTTCTTTTTAAAACATTACTGGTCCCAACTGAGATCTTAACAGCTGATACAATATGTTAAAAATAGTAGACAACTTATTTTCCTCAGTATTCAGTATATCAAAATAGACCTACGATTGCTTTTCGACACAGTTAATAAAAAAAAATTGATCCGTTCAGAATTTAAAACTTTAATACTACATCCAAAGAAATTCCTATCATCTGTAAGAAAATCTCACCTGATCAAACCAACACGTAAAGCTACAGCTTCTGTTGCCTCAACACTCACAGGAACTTCATCAACAAAAGCAATGCCATAAAGCAGGAAGGTTTCCAAAAATTTTTTCAGTTCCTCATCCGACTCCATCACAGAATTGTAAGTAACATAAGGCATGTTGGCTTCATTATAAATGGAAGCATTCCAGAGGATACGACGTTGGACTGTCTGTTTCTGGCCTTCAAAAGAATATTTTGCCAACCATGACAAGGCGTATTTGGTCATGTGATTATCTGGCCCTGTTAAACAAGGAAAAAACTCAAATGGTTATAGCAAAGGAAAAAACATTCATGTTAGATATGCTCAAAAGAACCTGTGTTGCAAGCTAGCATCAAAAATACATTACAATTTAAATTCAATTCTCAGACAGCTCAAAGATCTCAGTTCAGAGAGAAAAAGAAACACAATACGCATTATGTACACAAAAGGAGTAGTAACTTACAGGTTATGTAGATTGTATCATTGTCAGAATGTATCTTTGCTGGCTTAATAGCCAAATCCACCTGAGCTGTGTCCAAGCTCCGCTGATTAGTCTTTGGGTTGTAACACGATGCAGAGCGACAATGATCTCGCAGCCAAACGTAATTTAATCGCATCACCATGTCACTATACTTCAATTCTATAGTAGTAATAAGATTTTAGTTCTTCAATGTTAACTGACTTGACAAGGCATGCATTTAGACAGCTTCAGATATCAGTGTAATAAATACAGGAGTATTAATCCGGATATAACATGGACAGTGGAGCAATGGAAATTTTAAAAACCCATTTACCGAGGACCATTGATTTTAAAAGCAATAACTGCCACTAACCCCTATAACTGAAATGTGAATGAAGTACTACAATTTTGCCAGCACATATGAACTGGTTGGATTTTTAAATTAAATGTCTCCCTTCGCAAATCAAAGCTTTTATTCTTGCTTGTGCATTCGTAGAAGGAAAAATGGAATCTTGCAGAGTTTTTGGAGCTGTTTATTTGATTCTATGCAGTGAAAAGGGACAACGTGTATAAAGTTTCACAGAATCACAATTTTTTTTGAAAATAATAAATGGAACTTATGAATGTAGAATACTGCACAAATAAATAAATGGAAATTATGTTTATTTATGGTGCTTTGCATTCAGGCAGATTAGTAATCAAGATGGTTATTTCAGCCACTTAAAAAAAAAGCAGCATGCAGACTTTAAATCTACCTCAAACATTACTTCAGACACCCAATATAGATTATCCATGAGCTATTTACATGAAGAGAATCACTAAAGCCAGTTATCAATTCAAATGTGTAGAAATGATTCAAATTAAATATAGCAATATGATAGAGCTTCTGATAACATCCTGACATTAATTAAAAATGGCAAGATTTTCTTGAAAGCTGCTCGCTTATTTTATTGCGGAGAAACTTTTTGAAAATAAGTTGATAAAATGCTCAACTAAAAACAGCTAAGATATCCCAAAAAAATCTTTAATATTCCTGTTACTGCAGTTCTAAATGTCACCAAATTTGCAACATCTTCAATTCCCAACCACTGCCAACCACTAAATTTTACCAAACCAACTCTGTCATTCTTCAATAAAACAGTACTCAATTCAATTGAAAACAACAATCTAGGACTACCTTACCATCCGAACTGGAGAATGATATGTACATGAATGACATGCAGGTGATACATATACAATCAAAAGAAGTTGCAAATGTGGAAAGTTGAAAGTAGAGGCTGCATTAAAACAGCAACACACAAATTTTCATGTCCAAATTTCAATTTGGAATATCTTGCCTTACCCAAGTGTTGATCATGCATCAACCAGGAACAGTTCAACGAATCTGCAGCACCATGTTTCCAACGTCTTGCAGTTACTGCAGGTAGATGCTTCCTTATCCAACATTTCCATGGTTCCCGTCCTTGAAAGTCAGCTCTGAACAGATGCTTCACACTGCTGCTAATATGGAGAAAGCGGTACCAAGACATCTAAGAACACAAAAGATGATTTTCAGGGTATGATATTTATGCCTCCCAAATTATCGATGGTAATTGTATATGGGTATACATATTCTGAAACAAAATTCAGAACAGTTCTGAAGGAGGGTCATTCGACCCGAAACATCAACCCTGATTTCTCTCCACAGATGCTGCCGGACCTGCTGAGATTTTCCAGCAATTTCTGTTTTTGTTTCAGATTTCCAGTATCTACAGTTCTTTCAGTTTTTTGACACATTCTGAAGTTCCTTACAGTTTATGTGAAGTAATGCAGCTATATTCATGTGGACAGCTGTGTCAAATAGCTCTGGCCGCTATTGAAATCTCCATTAGAAGAACTAACTGTATTGGGAGCTTTGCTAATATTGAAATATTATTTATTTGATTTCGATCAGTAGCAATAACAAGTGAACCTTGCATGGAGACTAAGCAAATATAAGATTGTCACCTCCAGTTAGAAACACACAAGACTTACAAGATCAGGACATCTGTGCAATCCAGTCTGATCTCAATTTCCAGCTTTTTATCCATAACTAGAAAACTATCAATCTCTGAACATACTCAAAGACTGACTTATTTTTAAATTGTGGCCCTTGGCTCTAGACTCTTCAACCAAGAGAAACTTCTTACCTGCATCTATCCTGTTTATTTCTTTAAGTACTTTGCAAGTTTCAATAAGATTACCTCTTATTATTCAAAACTCTGGAGTTTGCCCAATCTCTCTTCATAGGACAGTCCTACCATCACAGGAACAAGTCTGTTCAATGCTCGTAGCAATAATATACACCTGAGATAAGGAGGCCAAAACAACACACTGTGCTCCAGGTGCAGTCTAACCAAGCTACTTTACAATTGAAGCAAGACTTCACTACTCCTGTACTTAAATCATTTTTCAATAAAGGTTAAATTCATTAGCCTTCTGATTTGTTGTTGCACCTGCATATTAGCCTTCAGTGACTGGGACAAGGATGCTTAGGTCTCTTTGTACATCTACATTTTTAAATTATCGCCATTTAAGAAATACTCTGCATACTTGTTCCTCCTACCAACATGGATATCCTTACATTTTCCACATGATATTTCATCTGTCACATTCCTGCCCATTCACTGAGCCTGTCCAAAATCACCTAAAGCTACTTTACATCTTCGTCATGACACTTAGCTTTTTATCATTTGCAAATTTGGAAATATTACATTTAGTCTACACAACTAAAATTATTAATATATATTGTGAACAGTGGGGGCCCATGTCCTGATCCTTGAGGTAACCCACTAGTCACAGCCTGCCAACATAAGAACGATCCTTCTATTTCTGTTTTGTCTGTAGCCAACCAGTAACCTCTAACTTGATTTAACTTACTTCCCTTTTGATAATATTTCTTATTGAAATCCACGTAGTTACTTCTTTATAAGTGATAAGTTTTTCTAATATTAACAGTAGCTTTACATCAATCAATGCACTTACAGTTTTCCAATGTCACTCTTGGACTTTTGGTGACTTTCAGCCTAGCTGTTAAATAGCTCTGGGTATAAGTATGCACCGTAGACCTGGCTGTCACTGCTTCTGGAAGCGGAGTGACGGTCCCAAGCTTTACCATTTCTTTATATTTGCTGCCAGTTAGAGATGTCTCCTGCAAGTACAGATGTCTCTCCTCAAGGAAGGTTCCCGATCTCTAGATACTTTCTCTCACACTTTGGGTAAAATCATTTTCAAAGATTCTTTCCTAATTCTCTAGCCAATTACTTTAAACCTATACCAACCACATAATTATTGATCTATCTTCTAAAAGGTACTAGATCCTTCTTATCCAGACACCTCAATTTTATCATTTGCAAAACTTCCCTCAACACCTTCATTTCAAAGCATGTATCGCAAGCCTGTGCATTCCCTCTTCAACTATAGTTCTATTGTTGGAAGGATCCTTCCCTCATTCATATCCTGTAGACATTCAACTGGAGTCACATCCTTCCTGTAATGCAGCGACCATAACTGTATCTCACACATTAGTTGCTGTCTAACTTCTGTTATACATAATTCTAGCATAGATTCCACTTTTGTTTTGCTTACTCAACAAAGCAAACTATCCCAATATACCTGCTGAGCCACTTTATCTGGAGTTCACTAGCTGAGTGTGTTCAAAACCAATATCGATAGATTTCTACATTTAAGACCAGGTGATACAGCAAAAGCATAGGAAAATGGTATTGAAGTGGAAAGATTATCTATGATCTCACTGAGTAGCAGCACAGGCTTGATGAGATGAATGGCTTACTCCTGCTCCTATTACTTATGTTCTTAACTACCTGCCCTGACGTTTTCAGGGACTTTGATTTTTTTTTAAAAATCCCATTCAGGGGATGTGCATGTAGCTGGCTGGGCCAGAAGGTGGTGGTGATCTGACTTCTTAAATCACTGCAATCCATTTGATGTAGGTACACTCACAATGCCATTAGGAAAGGAATTCCAGGATTTTAACCCAGCAACACTGAGGTGGCAACAGATGGTGAGCACCTTGGAAGTGAACTTGCAGATTGTGGTGTTCCCATGAATCTGTTGCCCTTGATATTTGACAGTGCTATCTATGCAGTCTTGGTGAACTTCTGCAGTACATCTTATAGATGGTACAGACTCCTCCTGAAGTGTAAAGTGAATGTGCATGTAGTGCCAATCAAGTGGACAGCTTCAACCTGAATGGCATCAAGCCTTTTGGGTACTGTTGGAGCTGCACTCATCCAGGCAAATGTAGAGTATCGGAGCATTTCAATCAGACTTCTGACGTGTGCCTTCTGCATGGTGGACAGACTTTGGACAGTCAGGAGCAGAGTTACTGTTGCAGGATTTTTTGTCTGCAACTTGCACATTAACACAGTATTTATATGGCTAGTCAAGTTCAATTTCTAGTCAATGATAACCCTCAACGTGGATAGAAGAGGATTCATTGATGTTAATGCCATTGAATGTCAAAGGACAATTATTAGATCCTGTCTTGCAGAGATGATCATTGCCTGGCACTTGTATTACATTACCTGTCACTTATCAGCCCAAACCTGAATTCCATTCAGGTATGCTACATTAGAACACAGACTTCATCAGTTTCTGAAGAGTCATGAATGATACTGAATGGTACATAATTATCAGTGAACAGTGGAGGGAAAGTCATTGATGAAGCAGCTGAAGATGGTTGGGCCTACAACATTTCCCTTAAGACTAAGACTCATAGCATAGTAATGTCCCCACCTCTTGGCCAGGAGTTCAAGCTCCACTTGTTCCAGAGGTGTGTCATAACAGCTCAGAACATATCTGAGGGAACTGTGCCATTCTACCCCAATTTCTCCTTTGAACCTGCCAGTAGTTTTGTTTTTTTCCCCCCCATGTGATAGGACAAGTTGTTTAATATTCCTGAGAAGTACCATGCCAAATTTTACTGATTAAAAGCACTATATAATGCAATTGTTGCCTACTTCAGTAAGTGCAAAAGGAGTAATCATTAGACAGATAACAGTTTATCAATGTAAGAAAAGTGAGTAATCAGGCTATTGAAGGGGGGCTTGCTCTTGCTGCTTTGCTTCATTTAATACAATTCCCTCAATTGCAATCAGCCAATTCAGCAGAAGCCTATTATCAAACCTCTCAAATATCTGCATGATTCACAATAATCATAGAAGGGAGGCAGAGGCAATTGTAACATTCAATGCAGTTATTTACAAAGTATTGTGGACAGCTGGCCCAGAGGACAAGATTCAGTCTTATCACGATTTGTTTGGTGTTGATCGTTGAAGAACCATGAAATATGCCAGTCAGCTAGGTTGGTATTACCAAGTAAGTCAGTACGTAGAAAGCGGTTCGTCTGTGGATCTCGGCCAAACTGACGACGTTAGATTCTGCAGTTACACATGCAGATTAAAACTGGTTTAAAAATTAACAAAAAACCCACACTGTTGGCTAATCACTTTTGATTTAACTATAGGTTAAAATTTACCTTTCTATTTTGCATGAACCACGGTTAGATTTTAAAGTAGCCAGAATTTCCCACGCAAACCCAAAAAAGTGTTTCCTAAAATTAGGTGCACTAATTCGAAGATTCCTAAATTTAACCACAGCAGCAACCAAAAAAAAAATTATTGCTGGCACTTTCTTTCACTGTGTGCCTTATTTGTCTGATTTGTTCCGTAGGTAAAACTTGAATAAATACGCTGCATTAATATGCATAAGTGATAGTTTGACGACTTCAAGCTTTTATTTTAATATTGACATCGCTGGGAAATCATTTGCAACATGTTTTGAACATACTCAGCGAGTGAGACCCCAACTTAAGTTCACTAATGCTGAAAATTGAGAGTCACTGAAAAGTTGATCTCGAGATGTGTTGAGAATCTCCCTACCAACACCAATTCGAGTCCCACACAAAAGTATTTACAAGAAACTCCTGCATATTCCCTGATAGTAGGAACTGCAGATGCTGGAGAATCCGAGACAACAAGGTGCAGGGCTGGATGAACACAGCAGGCCAAGCAGCATCATAGGAACAGGAAGGCATTCATCTGATGAAGGGTCTTGGCCCGAAACGTCAGCCCTGCACCGTCCCTGGTTCTCCAAGGCCCTCCTAAAGTTTCTCTAACCTGGGGAACAGGACACCAGAGAGGCGGCATAACACCGGGCCTTACCACTCCTCCTCGCGCCAATAACGAGGACATCGCAGATACGCCAAAAAAAAAACAGGCACCTCCAATCACGTCAAGACTATTAACAATTGAATAAGCTCAGCTGACCATCCAACTGCAGTCCTTTCCGCCCCCCCTTTAAAAAATCAACTGCTTTCACTGCACATGCGCCAGTTGCCCACGTCCTGTCCCACCCTTCCTTGACGCAGCTGTCAATCAATAGTATAAGTAAAAGACCTGTCAAAGTGGCAGCATCATCTTTCATATCTCCACATTGCTTTATTTGAAATCCCCATAATTAGATGTGTTGTGTAAATAATAACCTTCATTAGGCGGCACGGTGCCAGGCTCCCGGGTTCGATTCCAGCCTCGGGCGAATGTGTGTGTGGAGTTTGCATATTCCCTCCGTGTCTGCGTGGGTTTACTCCCACAGCCCAAAATTGCGCAGGTTAGGTGGATTAGCTATGTAAAATTGCCCATAATGTCTAGGGTGGGAAATACAGGGACAAGGTAAGAGACGGCTAGGTCTGGGTGGATGCTCTTCGGAGGGTCGGCATGGACTCACTAGGCCCAATGGCCTGCTTCCATACTATGAATGTTAAAGGTAGTAAGGCTTCACCCTCATATATGGGAGCAGACTGGGGAAACATGATCAAAGACCTATGCAAAGGTTTTAAGGACGCTTTGAAACCGAGAAATGATGGGACATTCAATATGGTTTACAAATATCTGGAGTTTAGCGCTATGTGGGATAGCCGTGGCAGTCAAGAATAGGAGATAAAAGCAGAGGTATTGGGGCTGGAGGTGTTTACAGATTTGGCAGACGAGGGATTGCAGCTATTTGGAGGGAAAGACTCAACAAATCTGAATCGAAATGCACAATTAATGAAGGATCTATTCATGTCTAACCTTTCAAAACTTCCAGACTGGTCACTGAACTCACTGAAAACAGTGGGCCGCTACGCATGCGTGTTTATTGGGGGAATTGTCTCATTGAGCATTGTCTCATCCACACCATCTCGGAGACCTTATGTATGACGTAATGCCATACGCAGGGAAAGGCGCGCGACTTTGAACAGGGTTCAGCAGTGGGGAGGAGGAACTCCCAGACCGAGAAGGAGAGCCCAGGAGGCGGGAGGCCCTCTCCTACTCTGTCTCCTTTCTGCTCTACTTCCAGCTCTTGCGCTCTACTTGTCGACCGCGCCTCTCCACCCCCGCGTTCTCTCCCGAACCTTGATCTCCTCTGTCCCCAGTCCCGAACTCTGCATTTCCAACCAAACTCCGGCCGAATCCCTCCCCCAGTCGGGCCGCCTAAGTCGGCACATGCGCATTTCAAAGTGGTGCACTTGGCAAAAACGCCGCTTTGCGACTGTCGCAAACAGGGAGGAAACGCCGTGCAATGGTTGTTATGGAAATGATGTAATTGAAGCTCGTGACTGTGGCCTGTGGTGAATCGGAAGCCTGACAGCAGCGATTGGAGGGTGATAGTAGTGCAGGGAAAAGCCTGGAATAAATCAGGATATTCTGTAGGAGGGGGATGCCGAGTACAGCCATGAAGAAAAAGGTAAAAATAAACAATCATGCTTTGGACTATGGAGGGAGGTTAAGAAAAGTCAGCCGGACTTAATATCGAGTTCAGTAATTTGCGTTCTGAGGAAGGGTCAGCAGACCCGAAACGTTAAACTCTGATTTCTTTTCACAGACGCTGCTAAACCTGCTGAGCTTTTCCAGTTTTCTGTTTTTGTCCATAATTTTAAGGTCTGGACACCTATATCCATTAGGTACTTCCACACCTCTCTCACGACAGTCAACCCATTTTCACCTCCTGATAGTCCCCGTTAGCAGCTCGTCTTTCTCCCTAGCTTATCATCGTCCATCCCTTTGCTGAACTGTCTTTCTCTCTCTGGGCTCCGTCTCCATCTATTGCTTACTGTTTTACCCCCCTCCCCCTACCCCTGTCTTCAGAATACTTTTCCTGGCTATCATCAGTACTGAAGCAGGGTCACTGTACCCAAAACATTAACTCTACTTTCTATCCACAGATGCTGCGAGACTGCTGAGTTTCTCCAGCAATTTCTATATTTTTCCTAAGAAAAGGCAGGGAAAGGATTACTATGACAATGGGATGAATTTGGGGAGCTGCCACCCAAACCCTTTTTGATTGGGATGATGTGAGGGGGGGAGAAAACTATCTTTTATTGTGAAAGGACCATATGAAACAGGGTTGACTCTTTTCATATTGGACTCAGTATTAACTCTTTTTCTCTCTACTTATGCTGCTAGACCTGCTGAGTTGCTGCAGCATTTTAACTTCCTCCTCCCAAATCTGTTTTTTTCCAACAAGGCAACACAATTTCTCACAAACTGTCATCAGGTTATAGTTGCACTTCTCCAATGTCCTTTCCTTTGCTGCTACCACTCAGAATCTGCAAACTGTCCATGGCTTCAGCTGCAGTCTGATTTTAATTTTCACCACTCCTGTCACTGCTCGGCTCATGGATTTCATGTTTTAGATTTTTAACCTAATTTTTATTGTTTCTACACTGTGACCCCTGCAACTCTATGACTGTGCACTCCAACACTGTATCCTTACCATCAAAGATTGCTTCTTCACTCACCATAAAAACATAAGAACTAGGAGCAGGCAATTCAATCCAATGAGTCTGCTCCACCATTTTGTATTATCATGGTTAATATAATCTTGGCCTCAAATCCACTTCCTGCTTGCTCTTCGTAACCATTCAATTCATTACCAATTAAAAATCTATCTCCTTAGGTTTACTCAATGTCCCAGCATCCACTGCACTGTGGGGTAGTGAATTCCACAGTTTCACAACTCTTTGAGAGAAGTAATTTCTCCTCAACTTTTTAAATCTGCTACCCCTTGTCCTAAAACTGTGGTCTCATTCTAGATTGCCCCAGAATTGGAAACGTCCTCTCTGCATCTACTTTGCCTATCCTGTTTAGCATCTTGTATACCTCAGTTAGATCTCCTGTCATTCTTCTAAGCTCCAGAGAATATAGACTTAAACTGCTGAATCTCTTTTTCATAAACAAGCTCCTCATCTCTGGAAAAAATCCAGTGAACCTCCTTCGAGAGGCACGCATCCCTCCTCAAGTAAAGGGACCAAAATTGTACATAGTACTCCAGGTGCATTCTCACTAATGCCTTGTGCAGTTTGCAGCAACACTTGCCTACGTTTAGAATATGATACACTAACATGTTAATTAACTGATCTGCATATATCTAGGAATGGCCTGTACTCATTATCAGTTCCAGTACCACCCACAAAAGGTAGCATAAGGTGTGGTCATATTTCTTATCACAGGGTACATGAATTAATCTGTAAAAACAGAAAAAAATCTTTGGTTTGTTTCTATTGTCACATCAACTCAACCAGTCCATGCTCGTGTTAATGCCCCATTTGTGCATTCTCCCATGTTTCCTCATTTAAACCTATCATTGTAAACATCCACTACCTTATTTCCCTCATATTTCAACTTCCTCTTCTTTGCATCTTGAAAATCTACTGTCCTAATAGATGTACACAAAAAAAATTGGAAAATCAACACACTTAGATCGTAGACTTCAAACATTTAAGAAAACAGTGAGGTATGAGTATAAAATGGGGAAACATGTTTAAAGTCATACAAAGCAGGAGGAGGAATTGTGCTATAGATGATTTGAACGCGACTGAACCACATAGAGCAAGGTGAATTTACCTTTGTGTTCTTACCTTGTCCTCTTTTTCATCTGAAATAGTTAAAAGACCAGTCTACCTTCAATTGAAATAGAATGGATGCATTAATGTTTATTCAACCGACCAGCATGAATTTTATCTTCTAAAAAATGTGAAGGATGAATAGATATTTTGTGGCTGCTCTTAAAACACTTCTTTGTATCCAGTTGTTAATGGAATGCCCTATCTCTTCCTAATAATGAAAACTTGACTGTCCTGTTAGTAAATGTATATTGCTCCATTTAATCTCCTAGTGATTAGAAATTATGATGACAGTACTGCTCAGACCCACCAGCTTCTCACATAAGTGAGCCACAAGCAAGTGTCTATCGCCTTATTGATAGTTTGCTGATGTTCATTGGGAAAACTCTGATTTATGGCAGGTATTAGCAACCACAGCAACTTGTATTTTTATACCATCTGTAATAAAGCATCCAAGGACCTTCAAGGACGAAAGTACGATGACATACGGTGCAAATTGGCTAGTTTGGAGAACCTTTCTTAAAGGATGACAATGGAAAGGCAATGGCAAACATTTGAAGAACATATGGGTGAACTGCAACAATTGGTCATTCCTGTCTGGAGCAAAAGTTAAACGGGAAAGGTGGCCAAACTGTGGCTTAGAAGAGAAATTAAAAGAGGACAAAAGGTTTGGTTAAGAAAGGAAAAATAGACTGAGAACAAGCTGGCGGGGAACGTAAATATTGACTGTAATACTTTCTGTGGGTGTGCGAAGAGAAACCTAGGTCCCTTACATTCAGAAGCAAGGGAATTTAATAATGGGGAACAAAGAAATGGTTGACCAGCAAATACATACTTTGGTTTTGTACTCCCAAAGGAGGACACAAAAAACATCCAAACATTTTGGGAAATGGAGCATTTACTGATAGAGAGGTACTGAAGGAAATCCGTCCTGGGGAAAATTGGGATTGAAGGCAGTTAAATCTCCAGCGCCTGATTAAATAATATCCTTGAGTACTTAAAAAAGTGGCCATAGAAATAGTGGGTGCATTGGTCATCTTCCAAGATTCTATAGACTGTGGAACAGTTCCTACCAGTTGGAGGGTGGTTAATGTAACTGCTCTGTTGAAAAAGGAGGCAGAAAACTGGGAATTATAGACCAGTCAGTCTGTCGGTAGTGGGGAAACTATCATAAAATATTTAATACCTGAAGACTTGGGAAACAGTAACAGGATCAGAGTCAGCATGGATTTATGAAAGGGAAATCATGCTTGACAAATGTTCTGGAATTCTTTGAGGATGTGATTCCAAGAGATGATTTAGATGAGGGAACTAAATGTAATATCTCCAAATTTGCAGGTTAGCACAACTGGTTTGGAGGGTGAGCTGTGAGGAGTATACAGAGATACTTCATTGGACAAGCTGAGTGAGTGGGCAAATGCAAATAGTAGATGTAGCATAATGTGGATAAATGTGAAGTTGTCCACTTTGGGAGCACAAAACAAAAGGTGGATTATCTAATGAAAATTGAGGAGGAAGCGTGCAATGAGACCTGAGTATCCTTGTACAAGAGTTAGTGAAAATAGACTTTGCATATTTAGCAAGCAGTCAAGAGGGCTAATGGTATGTAGCTTTCATAGCCAAGGGATTCCACTACAGGAGCAGGAATGTTTTACTGCAACTATACAGGGTCTTAGTGAGACTACACCCGGAATATGGTGTACAGTTTTGGTCTCGTTATCTGAGGAAGGTTGTTCTTGCTGTAGATAGCATGCAGTGAAGGTTCCCAGACTGATCCCTGGGATGGAGGGAATGACGTGAGGAGAGGTTAAATCAGTTACAATTAGATTTGCTGGAGTTCAGAACAATGAGAGGGGATTTCATTGAAACCTACAAAATTCTAGCAGGACTGGACAGGGTATATGCAGAAAAAATGTTCCTGATAGCAGGGGGAGTACAGAACTGGGGGTCACAGTCCTAAGACCATGGCATAGACCATTTAGGACTGAGATGAGAAATTTCTTCACGCAGAAAGTGGTGATCCTGTGGAATTTGCTACCACAGAAAGCAGTCACATCCAAACTATTGTATGATTTCAAGAAGGCGTTGGAAAGAGCAATAGTGGCTAATGGGATCAAAGGTTTTGAGAGGAAAATGAGGACACGCTATTGAGTTTGATGGTTAGTCATCATAATGATGGAGCAGACTCGAAGGGTTGAAAGGCCTATTCCAGCTTCTATTTTCCATGTTTGTGTTGATATAAAATTGACACTGAGTCTTGTAAGGCAATATGAGGGCGCAAGCCAAAAGATTTGATCATATGGGCGGCACAGTGGCTCAGTGGTTAGTGCTGCTGCCTCTCAGCACCAGCAACCCAGGTTTGATTCCACCCTCTGGCGACTGTGCAAACTCCACACAGACATTCTCCCAGTGTCTGCGTGGGTTTCCTCCGGGTGCTCCGGTTTCCTCCCACAGTCCAAAGATGTGCAGGTTAGGTGAATTGGCCATACGAAATTGTGCATAGTGTTCAGGGATGTGTAGATTAGGTGGGTTACAGGCGGATGGGTCTGGGTGGGATGCTCTGAGGTTTGTTGTGGACTTGTTGGGCAGAAGGGCCTGTTTCCACACTGTAGGGATTCTATGATCTATGATACTGGGGTTTTAAGGCAAGTTTTGAAGGTGGAAGGAGAAGTTTACAGAAGAAAAGCTACTAAGCCATTAGACTAGCCTCCTTGCCCAATTCCTGTTCTTCACCAGTAATAGTTGCATGTCTTCACTTAGATTGTTTTCATTTGTTTCGTTGGGTATAGGTTTCATTGGCAATGCTAGCATTTCTTTTCCATCTTAATTGCTGTAGTGAAGGTAGTGATAATTTGCCTTGAACTGCTGTAATCCACGTGGAGTAGGTACACCTGTGGAATCGAGAGAAGCACTTCCAAGATTTTGAAGGAGCAGTGATACGAGGCATTTCTGCAGGTGCCTTGGTGAGAGTGGGCCAGTGGTGGATGGGGTGCAAATTAAGCAGTTGTCCTGGATAGTGTTGAGATTTTTGGTGTTGGACCTGCAATAATTGAGGCAACTGGAGGGTGTTCCATCACATTGCAGATCCTGTTTCTTGTAGAGGTGGCAAGACTTTGTCCGGAGCTTGTAACCTTTGACCTGCTGTTGTTGCTACTTCATATGGCTGGTCCAGTTCAGTTTCTGGTCAGCAGTAAAATTCAAATGTTGATGGTATAATGTTCAGTAGTAAAGGTGTTCGATGATAATGGGAGTTTAGATTCTTGATTCTTCTTGTTTATTGCCGGGGATTTCTGTGGCATGTGTATTACTCGCCATTTATTAACCAAGCCTGAATATTGTCCATGTTTTGTTGAGTGCAGAGGCAGATTGTTTCAGTACCTGAACAGGTATGCAAATTAAATGGAATACTGCAGTCTCAATATGACCAAAAGTGGGATGTTTACTGGATTGATGATCACTGAATTGGTTGAAGATAGTTGAGACTTGAACGTAACCCGAGGAACTCCTGAAGAAACGTCTCTGGGTTGAGATGATTGACACCTACTGCTGCCACCATCTTCCTTTGTGCTAGCTTTGACTCTAGTCATGGAGATTCTCCCCACTTCCAATTGACAAGTATGCCTAGCTATCACAGGCAAATGCTATATTGATATTGAGCAGTTACTCTCACTTCACCTTATTAATTGTATCATAAAGTGATGGGGATGCAAAGGAGACCAGAGTGACTGGAGTGGGGTGTTTCCCAGTGAAGGAGGTTATTATTACAAAAATTGAATGAGGTTAAAAATTTAGAGGAGCGAGACTATAGAAATTTAAACTTGAGTTATTTTTTATATTCCAACAACCAAATGCCAGTGTGAGAACGAGGCCTGGTAGGCCATCCAGTCCTTTGAATCTGCTGTACCATGTAATGATCTGCTAATCCTCAATTCTACATTCTTTCCTTTTCCCAATAATCGTTTGTTCTCGTATTGATTGAAACAGGTTTTCAATCAGCTTTGAATATACGTAACGGCAGAGCCTCATCAACATTATATAGTAAAGGTTTCCATAGATTCACTATCCTCCGAGAAAAGAAATTCCTCTTTGTCTCTGGCTTAAATGGGTGACCCCTTAAAATGCCCTCTGGTCCTAGATCTTCCACAAAGGGAAATAACTCTTACCATATCTACCTTATCAAGCCCCCTAACAATCTTGTGTTTCAATAACGTCACTTCTCATTCCTTTAAATTCCAATGGATACAGGTCCAAATTACTCAACCTTTCCTCACGAAACAGTCCTCCATGCCTGGAATCAGCCTAATTAGCTGCCTTTGGAGTGCTATCAATGTCAGTATATCTTTCCCTGGATAAGGAGCCCAAAATTGCACACAGTATTCCAGGCGTGGTCAGATTAGTGCCTTGAATAGTTTTAGCGAGACCTCCCTATTTTTATCGTCTACTCTCTTTGAAATAAAAGCCGACATTTCTTTTGCCTTCCCCTATTATTGGCTGAACATATATGCTGGCTTTTTTGCGATTTATTCACGAGGACACTCAAAAACCTCTGTGCTGCAGCTTTCTGCAGTCTTTTTCATTTAATAATATTTAGCTTTTCTTTTCTTGCCAAAGTGCATAACCTAACATTTTCCCACATTTATGTTCCAACTGCCAAGTTTATGCCTACTCACTTAACCTGACTATATTCCTCTGCGGACTCTGAGTCATCCTCATCACTTACCTATCTAGCTATCTTTGTGTCATCACATACTTGATAGGTCAGTGAGGACAAGAGAGATGGTTAAGCAGGTAGTTGTTGAGTAGCTTCAGCATGGCAAACCTTAGGAACATCATTTGTTTGCAAAATATTATAAGCCAGAAGATCATTGAAACAATATGATCATTAGGTCAGAAATGTGTGGATAACGGTTTAAGCTGTTTATGGGCTTAAAGTTATCAAGATGCAATTCAGCTTTGCCTGTATGTCCACCTGTTCTTGTCCTGAATTAAACAACAAATCTTTTCTGATGGGGATATGGTTTGGATACCAAGGTTAGATACAGTCTGGATCTCTCCGAGACAATGTTCAGGGAGGGTTGTGGAAGGTATTCTAGGAGAATGGTTGCCGGGAGAAAAGATGGTATTGCAGTGTTGATAGAACTGGTGAAAGCTGATACCATATCTCTGGATATTGTTGTCCCTGGCCAGCATGTGGTTGAGGATACATACTTGGATGATATTAACTTCAAATGGGAAATTTTCAGTAACCATGCATATGTGCCCTGAAACAATTCAACTTTGCCTGTATGTGCATCTGTTCTTCCTATTAAACACAAATCTTTTCTGCCAGGTTGAATGATGGTAAGCCATAGTCTCATGCTTGTGCTGTTGAATACCATGTTACATACCCATTAATTTGTTCCATGATGTTGTTCTCTTACTAGGTGCTATTGATGGGAAAGAGTGGGTCTGGTAAGACTAGCATGAGATCTATTATCTTTGCAAACTACATAGCCAGGGACACACGACGTCTTGCAGCTACAAGTAAGTTCTGTGAATGAAAAAAGTTTGGATTGAGAAGATGTCTTAAGATGAGAACTGCACTTGATTTTGTAGTCCTGTCATTTACATGATTGTTCTTAAAAGTAATTCAGTTGAAGAAAATGAAGCTTTATGCAGGCATTTTTTAGACTATTTGTTATTCACCCTGATCTACGTTGGACAGCTGTTTGCAATAACAGCTGCAACTGGCACAGTTAGGACTTTTCAATGTAGAATGGCTTTTGTAATAACTGACTTTAAGCTATAGATAGTTTATAGATAATGTTACATTGTAGGTTTTGGACTTTGAAATATATTTTCTTTTTTTTTTATAGTTGATGTGGAACATTCACATGTCCGATTCCTGGGAAACCTCGTCCTGAATCTATGGGACTGTGGTGGGTAGGTGTTTCAAGATAGAATCAATTGATTCCATCTGTTTTCTTCCCCTTATCCAAGTATGTTTCACTGTGTATTTGTTTGGCAGATCTGGAACTTAACTGGATACTTCTGATTAAGATAAAATATTTGAGTGTAATATAAGAGGAATTCAACACATATTGTAGAATGTTGTGCAACTGCACAATAAATTTGATAAAATATCACTTATCTGTCTGCAAATAAGTGACAATGCATACACTGCAGCATTCTAAGCGCTAGAAATATATTCCTTATGTGGTATAATGGGTTGTTAAGGGAGATGGAGGCTGTGTTCCTTAATCAAAGGGATTGGGGTCTTAATTTATAGGGAAGTGGATGTTCATTTATAGTTTGATTACCCAATTGCCTGGCAATATGTTATTCAAAGAATGGGGGTGATATTAAAAATTAGCACCAAAATATTGGTTTGAGTCATTTTGGTTATGATGTGGTGGTTTATGCCTAATTAATTTACTAAAGCTCTAAACCAAATGGAGCCATGCTGAGCACATAAGAAATAGGAACAGGAGTAGGCCGTTCAGCCCCTCAAGCCTGCATAAAGAAAGATGGCTGTGATTGTTTGAAGCCAACTGTCTTGGGCCAAGGACATTGTTGGAGTTCCTTGGAGTGGTGTTCCAAACTTCCTTCCATCCTAGCTGCTTCGTCAATGACTTTCCCTCCGTTGTAAGCTGAGAAGTGCGAAAGTTTGCTGGTAATTGTACAACGTTCAGAACTATTCTCAATTCTGGTAATGAAGTAGTCTATGCAGCAGGACTTAAACAATATCCAAGCTTGGATTGACAAGTGGCAAATAACGTTCTGCCATGCAATTGGTGCGCAATTACCATTTCCAACAAGAGAGAAACTAACTACCTTCCCTTGACATTCAAAGGAGTATGGTCGCTGAATCTATAAGATGACAGGATACAGTAGCAGAATTGGGCTATTCGGCCCATTGTGTCTACTCTGCCATTTGATCATGATTGTGCTTCTCAATACCATTCTCCAGACTTGTCCCTGTAACCGTTAATTCCCTTCCAATCAAGAACCTATCTATCTGTGTCTTAAATACACTCAAAGATGTGGCTGCCACAGCATTCTGTGGCAGTGGTTTCCATAGATTCACCACCCTCTGGATGAAGAAATTCCTCTTCATTTGTTCTAAAGAGTTGTCCCTTCACTTTGAGACTGTGCCCTCAGGCCCGCTAGCAACATCCCGCAGGGTTACGTCTGACTAGAAATTGAACTGGACCAGCCATGTAAAAGAGCAGTTCAGAAGCTTGGTATTGTACAGAGAGAACTCCTGAACCCAAAAGGTGCAAGACAGGAGAGTGATGGAATGCTTTCCACTTGCCTGGATCAGTGCAGTTTCATCAAGACCCTAGACACTTAACACCATCCAGGACAAAGCAGCCTGCTTGACTAACACCTTGCTTGTGATTGCAAATATTCATTCCCTCTACCACTGGCATGCAGTGACAGCAGCATGTAGAATATACAAGATGTACTGTAGCAACTTGGCAATCCTTTGCCAGCACCTTCCCAACCCAGGTCCTTGACTGGGCAAAGGTAGCGGACGTTGAGGAACATCCTACCTTTGCAACTTCCTTTCCAAATCCCATGCCATTCTGACCTGGAAATATATCACTGTTTCTCACTGTTGGCAAAACCTGAAACTCCCTTCCTAACAGTACTGCCAGATGGATTGCAGCAACACTCCACCTCCTTCTGGAGGGCAATTAGGAATGGGCAATAAATGTTGTCCTTGCCAGGGATGCTCTCATTCCATGAACAAGTATGGATTTATTTTTTAAAAAAGCTTTGTTTTCTGCTGACATGTAAAAGCTTTTAACTGTGCAACCATGATCGTCGTAAACAACACAGAAACAGACCACTTGATCCAGCTCATCCGAGTTGACCATTGGCCCATATTCCTCTAAAACCTTCCTATTCATGTACCCATCCAGATGTCTTTAGATGTAATTGTACCTGCCTCCACCAGTTCCTCTGGTAGCTTGTTCTATACACGCAACACCCTCTGCATGAAAAAGTTTTCCCTTGGTTTCTTTTTAAATGTTTGCCCTCTTACCTTAAACCTATGTTCTCTAGTTTTCGACTCTTGGCTATTCACCTTATCCATGCCCTTCGTGATTTTATAAATCTCTATAAGATCACCTCTCAGTCTCCAACACTCCAGGGACAAAAGACCCCAGCCTATTCAGCCTCTCACTATAACTCAAACCCTTCGGTCCTAGTAAATCTTTTCTGCACCCTCTCAAGTTTAACAACATCCTTCTTGTAGAAGGGCAACCAGAATTGTACGCAGTATTCTTAAAAGTGGCCTCACCAATGTCCCGTACAACCGCAATATGATATTGAAATCTAATTCCATACTGACCAGTCTCCCGTGACGTATATTGAAACAGGTGCATTTTCTTTTCTAACAGTCTGTTATTTTTGCATGGATACATCTCTGTCTCTTTCTACCTGCCTTGATGTAAACCTGTAATGACAAAAATTAGCACTAGAGTAATGGGGTTTGAAGGTGAGAGGCAAGGCTCTTGCATGCAGACATAAGATTATAAATAAGTTGTTGTTAAGGGAATCTATATTCAGGAAACCTTTCAACTAAATAGTCACAGGTGGGAGGAATGAATTTTAAATTGTTAACTTATCCTTGGGCTTTTATTTAGACTAATTGAATGATAATGGACATATTTTCTTCTTTTGGCTCTCAGTCAGGACACCTTCATGGAAAACTACTTTACTAGTCAACGAGACAACATATTCCGCAATGTGGAAGTTCTTATTTATGTTTTTGATGTGGAAAGTCGTGAATTAGAGAAAGATATGCACTACTACCAGTCATGCCTGGAGGCAATCCTTCAAAACTCTCCCGATGCCAAAATCTTCTGCCTTGTCCACAAGATGGATCTTGTGCAGGAAGATCAGCGAGACTTGGTAAGCTGATGCTGGATGTTCATCTGCAAATTCACTAATAAAGCAGGGTAAAATTTTCCATCTTTTACAAAAGAAAAGACTCAACGATGTGCAATGCAAAAAATTTTGGACTTGGATTTCAATTTACCCTCAATTCTGTTTTTTTCTGACATTATAAACATTATGTGCAGCAACTTTAATTCTTAGACCTACTGCACAAAAAGTTCAAATGTGGTTCAGTATAAGTAGGATATGAGTTAGTTTGAAAGGTAAATGGTATTTAAAATGGAAAATACAGAGAAGCATTAACATTACAGTTGTATTTTAAGCTCGTTGCTTGGAAAAAAAAGAGAACCTCTTTGAATTGATCTTTTGCAAACTTTAAAGCTGAAGTGAGATGTTGGAAATGGGGAAGTGTTTGGTTCCTGCATTGAATATCCCTCGGGTTTTAATATCTTCACTTTTATTTTTAAGTTTGGTAGATTTGCAGAAATATTGAAGGTTGGAAATTCCTGTGGTTTTGTAACGCGTCCTAGGATCGTAATTGCTCAGTGTGCATTTTATACTTGGGATAGGAAAATGACTAAAATATATAGTTTCAGCTGATCATCTAATGCAGACATGCTGGGGATAATAGTCTTTTTCTGTGCTGGAATTGAACAATTCAATATCCAAATTTATTTTAGTTGCTTTGTTGTAGATTTTCAAGGAACGTGAAGATGACTTGAGGCGTTTGTCCCGTCCTCTAGAATGCACCTGCTTTCGAACCTCTATCTGGGATGAGACCTTGTATAAAGTAAGATTGTTAATATGCTAAACTATACGAGTGACGTGGGTGATAAATTCTATTGGTTTTTTTCTTTTTTTTTTTTTTTTTTTTTTAAAGAATCCCACCTCTGTCCAAATCCAAGGGTTATAGATAAAAGCTGATTTATATAATTAAAAGTTTCAACATGCAGTAAAGAGAATGTTATGCAGTTACTGCATAGAGGCTTATAAAAAATTGTTGGATAGACATGGAGGTGGCTCCACTTCGAGAAGGTTTGAAATTGGTCATAAATGTAAGGTGATGTTTAATAAATTCAACAGAAAATTCAGAAAAATCCTCTCTACTCAGTGTGGTAAAAATACTGTACCATTGAGATTAAGTGGGGAAAAGAACATAGACACAGGCAGAGGTTAAAAACAGTGTATGAAATAGAATGAAAGGATTAAATGAACAGAGGTAGGGGAGGGCTTGAGGAGCAAAGAAGTGACAGTCCAGTTTCTCTGCGATAGGCTTGATGTGATAATGAGAGGAGTCGTCATTTAAACGTTTGGGCAGGATTATAAAATTTGGGTTTGCTGAAACCATTTACTAGTCTCATACCCATCTCAAACAAGTATGCTGTTTTGGAAAATGTAGGGGGTGATGGACTCCCATGAATGTAGCACTTTCAGGTGATGACAGCCAGGTTTCTGACTCCAATGCAATGATGGATACGTCAGATTCCAAGTGATCGATTGTGATAGGGAACTCTGATTACAGAGGCACAAACAGACGTTTCTGTGGCCAACAACAAAACGTCAGAATGGTGTGTTACCTCCCTGGTGACAAGATGAAGAGTATCTTGAAGAGGGTGCAGAATATTCTCAGAAGGCCATTGTACGCAATGGAACTAACGACATAGTAAGAGAAAAGGATGAGATTTTGAGGAGAGAATATAGGAAGTTAGACAGGAATTTAAAACGTAGGTCCTCAAGGGTAGTAATATGTGGATTACTCCCAGTGCCATGAGCTAGCGAGGGTAGGAATAGGCAGATTGAGCCGAGGAGCTGGTGCGGCAGAGAAGGATTCACATTTTTGGATCATTGGAATCTCTTCTGAGGTAGAAGTGACCTGTATAAGGAGGACGGTTTGCACCTGAATTGGAAAGAGACTAATATGCTGGTGCGGAGATTTGCTATAGTTGCTTGGGAGGATTTAAACTAGAAAGGCAGTGGTGGGGGGGGGGGGGGGGGGGGTAGAAGAAAGAAATCAGTCGGAGACTGGTCCATTTGGGAAAACGAGCAAGTCAAACAGTCAAGGCAGGCAGAAATAAAGCAGAGAAAGAGGTAGGACTGATGAATTAAACTGCATTTAGTTCAGTGCAAGAGGCCTAACAGGTAAGGCAGATGAATTCAGGGCATGGTTAGGAACATGGAACTGGGATATCATAGCAATTACAGAGACGTGGCTCAGAGATGAACAGGACTGGTAGCTTAATATTCCAGGGTATGGATGCTATAGGAAGGATGAAAAGGGGGCAGAAGAGGGGGTGTGCCGTTTTTGATTAGGCCTAATTTACAGTTGTACTCTGGGTATTCCTGGGAATACATCCAGGGAAGTTATTTGGGTGGAACTGAGAAATAAGAAAGGGATGACCACCTTATTGGGATGTACTATAGACCACCCCAGTAGTCAGCTGGAAATTGAGAAACAAATTTGCAAGGAGATCTGGGTTATCTGTAAGAATAATAGGATGGTTATGGTAGGGGATTTTAACTTTCCAAACATAGATTGGAAATGCCATAGTGGTAAGGATTGGATGGGGAGGAATTTAAGTGTGTACAAGAAACTTTTCAGATTCAGTATGTGGCTGTACCTACTAGAGAAGGTGCAAAACTTGACCTACTCTTGGGAAATAAGGCAGGGCAGGTGAGTGAGGTATCAATGGGGGAGCACTTTGGGGCCAGTGACCATAATTCTATTATCTAAAAGGATAGACCAGATCTAAAAGTTAAAAATTGGAGGAAGACCAATTTTGACAGTATTAGGCAAGAACTTTCAGGTTGATTGGGGATGGATGTTTGCCGCTAAAGTGTCAGCTGGAAAATGGAAAGCCTTCAAAAATGAGATAACGAGTGTCCGGAGACACTATGTTCCTGTTAGGGTAAAGGGCAAAGCTGGTAGGAATGCTGGATGATTAGAGAACTTGAGATTTTGGTCAAGAATAAAAAGGAAACATACGTCAGGTATAGACAGCAGGGATCAAGTGAATCCCTAGAAGAGTGTAAAGGCTGTAGGAGTATACTTAAGAGGGAAATCAGGAAGGCAAAAAGGGGACATGAGTTAACTTTGGAAAATAAGGTTAAGAAGAATCCAAAGGGATTCTGCAAATATATTAAGGACAAAAGAGTAACTAGGGAGAGAATGGGCCCTTTGAAGATCAGCAAGGCCACCTATGTGTGGAACCCCGCAGGAGATGAGGGGATACTAAACTAGTATTTTGCAAGGTGTTTACTGTCGAGAAGGATGAGCCTGATATCAGTGTTCGGCAAATTGTCCAAGGGAATTCTGAGGGACACGACTTATATGTATTTTGAAAGGCAAGGACTGATTAGGGATAGTCACCATGGCTTTGTGCATGGCAAATTGTCTCACTAACTTGATTCAGTATTTTGAGGAAGTAACAAAGAAGATTGATAAGGGCAGAGTTATGGATGTGATCTATATGATCTTCAGTAAGGCGTTTGACAGGGTTCCTCGTGGTAGACTGGTTAGTGAGGTTAGATCACGTGGAATATAAGGTGAATAGCCATTTGGATACAGAACTGGCTTGAAGGTAGAAGACAGGCTGGTGGTGGAGGGTTGCTTTCAGACTGGAGGTCTGTGACCAGCGGTGTGCCACAGTGATTAGTGCTGGATCTACTGCTTTATGTCACTTATGTAAATGATTTGGATGTGAACATGGGAGGTATGATTAGTAAGTTTGTAGATGACACCAAAATTGGAAGTGTAGTAGACAGTGAAGAAGGTTATCTGGGAGTACAACAGGATTGTGATCAGATGGGCCAATGGGCGAGGGAGTAGCAGGTAGAGTTTAATATAGATAAATGTGAGGGACTGCATTTTGGCAAATCAGGGCAGGATTTATACATTTTAATGGTGAGGTCCTGGGGAGTGTAAAGAGACAAGGGGTGCAGGTTCATAGTACCTTATAAGTGAAGTCCCAGGTAGGCAGGGTAGGGAAGAAGACATTTGGCTTGCTTGCCTTTATTGGTCAGTGCACTGATTATAGGAGTTGGGAGGTCATGTTGCGACTGTACAGGACATTGTTTAGGCCACTTTTGGAAAACTGTGTGCAATTCTGGCCTCCCTGCTATAGGAAGGATGTTGCCAGTGTTAGAGGGTTTGAGATATAGGGAGAGGCTGAATAGGCTGGGGCTATTTTCCCTGGAGTGTTAGCGGCTGAGGGGTAACCTTATGCATGTTTATAAAATCATGAGGGGCATGGATAGGGTGAGTAGACCAGGTCGTTTCCCCAGGGTAGGGGAGTCCAAAACTAGAAGGCATAGGTTTAAGGTGAGAGGGAAAAGATTTAAAAGGGACCTAGGGGACAACTTTTTCATGCAGAGGATAGTGCATGTATGGAATAAACACATGCTTGGAAGAAGTTCAAGGTTTCCATATGGAAATTGCTCATTTTTAAATGACAGAGATGTTGGATAGCAGCGTAGATTTGAACTCATAAGGCTGTGTGAAAGACCTGTACAACTGTAATTTTTAAAATGCTGTTGTGCTGGATTTAACATCAGATGAAGACTTCGATTTGTTATAAAAATACATGCCTTTTTAGGAGGTGAGTGTCTGATCCTGGACTGGATGGTGGTAACTGTGAGCTAGTGTTTCTAGTAAAAGAAACAATCATCAAATTTGTTGGTCCTGCTCACAACCCAAAGATTTCTACTGGAAGGTGTACTGTGTCATGTAAAGATATATTGGACTTGGTTTGAACAGACGTACATCTGTAGCCAATTATGCAACTAACAGTCAAAGCCTCCTGGAGAGGAGAAACTGGGGGAAATAAGTAAATCAAAATTGAGATTGAAGGCTATCATAACTCTACAGCTGCATCAAAATATTAGTTTGCATGTTTTTGAAGATAATATCTTTTCCAGGAGGTTTGATTTTTAATATTCTGTAAATGCAATAAAAACCTATTCCATAAATTAGTATCTCTTCCAAATGATGGAATTATTTTGCATTAGTGTTAAGTGTTTACATTAAGTTTTTTTTGTGTTTCCTAATGTTTGAGATTCACTTCTCAGGCTTGGTCAAGCATTGTGTACCAGCTGATCCCTAATGTACAACAACTGGAAACCAACCTGAGGAATTTTGCTCAGATTATTGAAGCAGATGAGGTGCTACTATTTGAAAGGGCCACATTCCTAGTAAGTGCTGCAAATTCTTTTCTTGCCTAATGATATTGACTTTATAATATGTAGTTCCTTGGGCGTTGCTTGCATCCTGATAGTTTACGTGATGATCAGATTATGCGGAGTGATTGTTAGTGGATTATGGAGTCAAGCAGCAGTAGTAAGATTTGAACTGTTCTTTGGCTTGGTCTAGGCCCCTCAATGACTAGCTCAGTCACAACTACTGCGCTGCTGTATCTAGTTTATTGAATTTATCTTTACTCCTGTTTTTAGTTCAGCGAACTCAGACTTTTTGGCTGCAGTAACTTTAAGTTGAGCATTCCCTAATTAAGTCACTTTATCATTCAGTGGAAATGTCTCAAGATTCCTTTACAAAGAGTGATTGATTTTTATGTAGTAGCACATTGCACGTCATTAGAGACAGCAGCAACCATAGGCATCCACGATTTTAAGACAGAGTGCTGCGCACAAGGCAAAGCAAAATAAAAGTAGAGCTAACAATTTTTGTGTCTGGTACGTCCCCTCATTGGAACTGAAGGGGTTGGAAAAGAGGTGGGCTTTATGCTGCAGAAAAAGAGGCTCAAAGGGTCAAATGAAACAGTTGATAAAAGTGCCCAAGGGCAAAAGGCAAAGGGAACGTTAGTGGTATCATAGAAGAGATGTAGATGAAGAGTAGGTGTTAAAAGCAGAAAGTAGGTCTGCTTTCCAGAAAACACATTTTGTGCAAACAACACAAGATGGCAAAATACAGGTATTTCTGCTATAACGCGTGTTTTGTAAACGCGAATTGGTTGTAACATGGTTGATGAATAGTGGACGCAGTTTGGATAGCGCAAACTTTCTACTGTACAGCACAACGATTTCCCAACGGTGTGATTTTCTATGGCTTGAGGTCGCACAAGAATGTAACTATTGTGTTTATAGGAGAACTGCCTGTATACCAAAGGCTCTAGGTGCCTAAGTGGAAAATGAGGCTTGTGTTGAAATTTGCTGGAATGCTGCAGCAGGCCTAGGTCAAAAATGTTAGCAGGAGAGCAAGATGGTGTCTAGAAGTGACAAGCAGTCGGAAGGTTGGGATCATTTTTGCAGTCGGAGCAGAGGTGTTCCACAAAGTGGTTACCCTGTCTGCATTTGGTCTCCAGTGTAGAGGACACCATGTCTTGTACGGTAAATAGTGACTTAGGTTGAAAGAAGTACAAGTAAATTTACAGTTTGAGCTGGAAGGTGTGCTTGGGGTCATGGACAGCAAAGAGATAAAAGGCAAGTGTTGCACCTTGTATGATTGCATGCCCTAGAGTGGTGATATGGTATACGAAGTGATGGAGTGAATCAGACTGTTGCAGTGGGAATGGTGCCTGTGAGATGCTGCTGGGAGGGCAAAGGAAGATGTGAGTTGGTGGTATTCTGCTAAAGGTGGTGGAACTGGTGGAAGCCGGTCCCTTGAGTGCAGAGGCTGTGGGATATCACAGCTTTGTTATACTTACTTTCTTCATTGTTTGGCATGCACATGTGTTGTAGCTTCACCATGTTGACATCTCATTGTTAATACGCTTAGTGCTAACCGAGGCATGCCCTCCTGTACTTTTCATTGAGTCAGGGATGACCAGGTTTGACGGGAATGGTGAGTATACCAGGCCACCACTCACTGCGCTTATCTAATAGGTTGAGATTCTTGCTCCCTGTGGTGCACAGTAAAATAAGACTGGAGTCTGCATGGCTTCTTCAAGGGGCAGTCATGTCTGACAAATCTGTTAGAATTCTTTGAGGAGGTAATGAACAAGTTAGACAAAGGAGAGCCAGTGAATGTAATCTATTGGAGCTCCAAAAGGCCTTTGAAACTGTGCCACACAAAAAGCTGCTAAATAAGACAAGCCCGTGGTGTTGGGGGCAAGGCACTTGCATGGATAGAGGATTGAATGATTGGCAGAAGCAGAGACTGGTGATAAAGGTGTCTTTTTCAGAATGGCAGCTAGTGACTAGCGGAGTTCCGCATGGGTGAGTGTTGGGACCATTCATGTTATACATTACAGATCTGAATGAAGGAACTGAAGGCATTGTTGCTAACTTTGCAGATGACACAAAGATAAGTGGAGGGATGGGTCGTGTTGAGGAAGCAGGGATGCTGCGGAACAACTTGAACATGCTTGGAGAGTGGGCACAAGTGGCCGATGGAATACAATGTGGGAAAGTGTGAGGTTATGCACTTTGATAGGAAGAATAGAGGCATAGACTACTTTCTAAATAGGAAAAGGCTTTGAAACTCTGAAGCACAAAGGAACTTGGGTGTTCTAATTCAGGATTCAATTAATGTTAGCATGCAGGTTCAGTTGGCATTTAGGAAGGCAGTTGCAGCGTTAGCATCAGTTTTGAGAATGCTATTTTTGTATTCTAGCAATGTATTGCTGAGGCATGTGTAAGGGTCCAGTCAGACACTGTTTGGAACATTGAGAGCCATTTTCGGCCCCATATGTAAGGAAGGTGCTGGCATTGGAAGGGGTTCAGAGGAGGGTTTACAAGAATGATCCCGGGGACGAAGGGAATGTTAAATGAGGGAGCTGTTGAGGACTCTGGATCTGTACTTGGTGGTGTTTAGAAGGATGAGGGGCGTTCTCATTGGAACTTATGGAATATGGAGCTAGAGTGAGCATGGAGAAGATGTTTCTACTAGCAGGAGAGACTAGGGCCCGAGAGCAGAGCCTCCAAGTGAAGGAATGAACCTTTAGAATGAAGATGAGTTTAGCGAGAGGGTGGTGAATCTGTGGAACTCATTGCCACAGAAGGCAATGGAGGCCAAGTCATTGGAATGGCAGAGCAGACTGGACGGTCGCAAGGCCTAATTCTGCTTCTGTATCTTATGGGCCATGACGTTACAGATTGTACTGAAATACGGCTCTTCCACCGATGCCAACAGTGACTTATAGATGCCCAGTTTTGGTCTTTGGACCTATTTAAAATCTTCCATTTAGCATGATGGTAGAACCGTACAACATGATGCAGAGTATTCTCATTGCGATGATGGCACTTAACACTAAAGTACAGCATTGTGGTCACTCCTACTGGTGCTATCATGACTGCAGCATCTGCAGCAAGTGTGGTGACTACAAGGTCAACTAGAATTTTCCCTATTATTGGCTCTCTTGCCAACTGCAGACCCAGGTTAGCATAGAGTCATAGTCATTCAGCAGGGAAACAGACCCTTCGGCCCAACTTGTCCATGCTGACCAGGTTTCCTAAACTGAACTAATCCCATTTGCCTGCATTTGGCCCATGTTCCTCTAAACCTTTCCTACCCCATGTTAATGTCCAAATGTCTTTTAAATGTTGTAATTGTACCAGCCTCCACCACTTGCTTTGGCAGCTCGTTCCATATACGTACCACCCTCTGCGTGAAAATGTTGCCCCTCAGGTCCCTTTTAAATCTTACCCCTCTCACTTTAAACCTGTGCTGTCTCGTTTTGGACTCCCCTACCCTGAGGAAAAGACCTTGGCTGTTCACTTTATCTATGCCCCTCGTGGTTTGATAAATGTCTATAAGGTCACCCCTCAGCCTCCTATGCTCCTTGGGGAGAAAAGTCCCAGCCTATCCAGCCTCCTCTTATAACTCAAACCCTCCAGTCTCGGTAACATCATTGTAAATCTTCTTTCCACCCTTTTCCGGTTTAATAGCATCCTTCCTGTATCAGGGTGTCCGAAATTGTACATCGTACTCCAAATGAGGCCTTACCAACGTCTTTTACAGCTGTAACATGATGTCTCTACTCCTGCACTCAAATGCTGCCTTAACCACCCCCTCTACCTGTGATGCTACTTTCAAGTAACTGTGTCGCTACACCCCTAGATCTCTCTGTTTGAAAACGCTTCTCAGGTTCCTATCATTAACTGTGCAAGTCCTACCCTGGTTTGTCTTTGCATTTATTTAAATTAAACTCCATCTGCCATTCCTCAGCTCAATTGATCAAGATTCCATTGTACTGTTAGATAACCACTTTCACTGTCCACTGTACCATCAATTTTGGTATCATCTCCAAACCTGCTAACCATGCCTCCTATTTTCTCGTCCAAATCATTTATACAAGTGACAGAAAACACTCAACCCAGCTGTGATCCTTGCTGCACACCCCTGGTCATGGGCTTCCAGTCTGGATGACATTTACAAATGTTATACATGACAAAATCATGGAAAAGTAAATTAATTCTTATAAGTACCAATTTTTTTTGGTTCTGCTATTACAGCTTTCTTCGCAATAAAATGATTATAATTGGGTATGGGTGTATTTGACAAAACTATCTTCCAATAAAATATTTTGATCTAGATTCTTTGGAGTGAGATTGAATTATTGATATATTTTGTTTTTCACTTTTAGGTGATCTCTCACTATCAGTGCAAAGAACAGAGAGATGTGCACAGATTTGAAAAGATTAGCAATATTATTAAGCAATTTAAGCTAAGCTGCAGGTAAACAGCACTTATTTTGTCTGTTTAATGTTGATACTTCTCAAAGTGAGATCAATGCTAGGTGTTAACCATACTTTGTTTGTCTGTATAAAACATTTCTCAGGAAGGTAATTCATTGATTAGTTGCAGGGTAACGGTCCACAGTTGCAGGGAAACATGCCTAGCTACATCAGTGTATAAGTATTTCCATTTTCTGTACCTGCTTTTTTTTTCTTCTTTTGGATTTATTTCTAACAAATGAAAATTGAATACACATTTTTTTGTTTTAAGAACTGATGGAAAACTACAGCCAAAACAAAGGAACTTGTAACCTCTTTTGATTAATTTTTGGGTTTTGAGACTCACTATCCACAGCTAATGCTTTTGTAGGACCCGATTTGTTTGTTTTTGTTTTTGGACAATCTGCTCACATGGAAAAGCGGTGGTGCTTGCAGAGTTTATTATATTAAGTGCCTTTGATATTGGACATTTAATTAATATATTTTCCATACTGATTTTTCTGTAGTAAATTGGCTGCCTCTTTCCAAAGTATGGAAGTTAGGAACTCCAATTTTGCAGCATTCATTGATGTCTTCACATCCAACACATATGTGATGGTAATCATGTCCGATCCTTCGATACGTAAGTAGCCAAAGTTATGGCCAAGTTGTTTAGTCTATTTTACACAACTGTTTAAATCCATCTTGATCTTTCTTTACTTGCTGTAAGCAACACTAAACCAGGTTTGTTTTCAACCACATTGTATGACTGATGGAATCTAACCCATTTGTGAGGTATGAACCTTAGCCTAATGTAAAAATCTTTAAACGGATGTAAAATATGCAGATGTCCTAGCTTTCTCGTATTTCATCTGCTTATTCCAAGATTTGAAAATAAGTAGAAATATATGTAATTAAAATGTTAGATTTTCATGATTCCATTTGCAGTTTAATGTATACTGTGATCTACAAGTATTTAATTAATAACTGTATTCTTCTAAACATTTTACAGCTTCAGCAGCTACACTCATCAATATTCGTAATGCCAGAAAACATTTTGAGAAGCTGGAGAGAGTAGATGGTCCTAAACATAGTCTTTTGGTGCGCTGAAGATTATAGACTGGGTATCAGATGGATGTATGACAGATTGATATTTCTTGATATAATTCTTTATATCGTGTCTGTTTTTTGAGTAATTGCTGCAGTTGTCACATTTTTTTGTGACCTTGAGCATTTTGTCAAATATTTGTGTCATCTCCTGAAAGCAGCAGTATCTCTTCATTCCGGACTCTGCTGTAAAACTCTTAGAACAAGAGATTTTACCACTTTCCAGTAGAAGCCCCATTTTTATGGTAATCCATGCAGGAGCTGGAACCTTTTGTAGAGAAGCATCTGTGGGAGCCTCTAATAACAAGGCTTTTGACTTTGCATTCTGCACGTAAATATACTGTCTTACTTTTTTTGACCTGACAATCTAACTTTGTGTTCAACTGCAAATAAAAGTGCAGTATGATCAGTTGTATCTGTTTAAAAACAACCTGCCCAAGTGGAATGGATATCTGTACTTATCAAGGAGCTATGGAGATAAACACTTCCTGCAATATTTATCCAACGTTCATGCTGGAATGAATAGCATGGCTACTACCACCACATCCCACCCCAAAAATATGTTCAATGATACATTGTATGCAATTTACCATTTTCTGCTTTTTATTTTAAATCTTCCAAAGTAATGATGCTTTATTGAAAGAAGTTGAATAATCAATGGTCCATTACCACACCTAGATCATTCAGCATTCTCCTGTTCCCCTCCATTCCCATGCATGAACTTGTCTTTGCTGAGTTGCGATGAACTAGCAGCATTTCACCTCTTTTGTTTTCTCCCCTCCTTAACTCTCCAAAATGGGAGAAGCTGTGACAAGTTTTCCTAAGCTACTTCAGTACAATTCTTAGCATTTAATTGGCTAAACGTGAAGAAGTGGATTATCTGCTTATTTCCTGTTAAAATAGTGCAAATAATTTAATATCTGATTTGGTGTTGAATCATTTTGAACTTTAGGATTACACTGTAATACTTATTTTTATTCTTTGTAAAACTGCACTTCTTAGCTGATGAGAAGGTTGTGTGCATTACATTGCAACTGATTTGGTATTTCTGCTGACCTGTGTTTTAAATCCAAGCATCAACAAACTTTTAAACCATGTGATACGGTTGTTTTGTTTGCGAGTCTCACAGGATTGGTTCTCTGTTCCTCCAGCTGCACTTGGTGAATTGTGTCTGTTGTGGCCCTATTGAATTTTCTGTTGTCCACTCCATATAACTTGAAGAAAAAAGTGACCTGAATAAAATAAAAAAGAAAACTTTAATCTCTGCAGTCAGTAAGGGTGAATAAGTGTGAATTTATTTTGTGCATATCTTTGAATTTTAATCACTGAATATAACACTGTTTACTCTGGCTGGATGGCTGGCTTGCCATGCAGAGTGATAATCAGCAGCGCAGGTTCAATAATGAGGTTATCATGAAGGCCCCAACTTCTCAACCTCCTTCTTTGCCTGAGGCGTGGTGACCCTCAGGTTAAACCATTACCAGGTCGTGTATCTCTGAGAGAGCAGTCCTGTAGACCTCTGGAGCTATGGAGTCTTTACCTTTTTTACATGATATCGTTCTCTTCAGTCTAGATTTCAGTGTTTAATTACTGTCAATTTTCTTGGTGTAAATTGGTGACGAGGGGGATGTTATTTTGGGTAGAAGTTTCTAATTCCGTTTTAATATCCTGGTACGGAAGAAAAACCCTCAAAAACAGTGTTACTTTTTAAAATAGCTTTTAAACGCTGATCTGGTTTCATTTCGGTATAATTCACTTTTTTTCAGAATTCGCTTCTATGCATGTAACCAAGTGTGCATGCACTGAATTTTATGGACTATTGCATGCATGCTGTTCTATCACAGTACAATTTTCCGAGATATTGACTGTTTCAAAAGTTGTAAGCAGCTTTACACTTTAACATTTGACAATACTGTGACCAGGTTCTGAGGTGACCTAATTAGCAGCATTCTTGTACAGTCTAAATCTCACTTGACAGTAGCACAAATAGTTCTGTGTTAAACCACAAGCTATCAAATTAGCCAATGTTTATTTCCCTCCCCCGCCACTCACTACTTACTTTGATATTCTTGTGAATTGTCTAATTGAGTGCATGACACAAAGCTTTGACAAAATAGTTTTCTTTTTCAGCAATAGTACTTACTGAGGCACACACCATATACTTAAGTTAGTTTTAACTGAATAGATTGGTTGAAAGCAGAGGAGATGGTATATTCACATCTCACTACTGTAAACAATTGATTAATTTCTCCAATATGATTGTTCTTTTGTTTAAACCAGAGATGGTAAACTACTACCACTGCTAAAGATCCACATTTCTTTACACTGTATCTCAGTAATATAGAAGTAATGTTGCACTCTGACGTGATATTTTGACTGGCTTGACATCCAGTTTCCAAGATGGTGTGTAGTTTACTGCTGAACTCGTTATATCCACTGCATTTGTACTCCCTGGTATTTGTTTGTTTTTATTTTCCTAATTTCCAGTATTTACTCTATTTTCCTTCAGAATCTATTGGGGTATACCTGCTTCTGAATGTTTCAAATTTGTGTTCCAAGCCAACAGATTTTAATAAACAGCCAGCATAAGTCAAATCTTGTATCTTTATCTGTGAAATGAGTATATTACAGCATATATAAGTTGTCCTTTATGGTCAGTTGCAAGTATAGGCCTATAAAATGCACGGGTTTACATGTTCCATTCCAAAAGCAAGAACGGTATTGCATCAGGTGATTCTCCTTAACATAATGTGTACGTACAAAGTAAATAATCCGACACAAGCAGAAAAAGCAGCAAATGTACTAATGATGCATTTAATGGATTGTCTGTCTGCAAGGAATTACAATGATTTCACTTCAGAATGGATCATTTAAAAATTACAATAATTTACAGAACTGCTGGCAAAAGAGGGAATAAGTTGTTTTATCCTCTTTGTGAAAGGAGCATTATTGATGATTACTGGATCTTTAATTTAACCTATTAAATATGTAAACTAATTTATAAATGTTAAGTGTGGCAGGGCAGCTGGAATGCTATAACTACATTAAAGTAGCTGGTTTATGGACAGCATTGCATTGTCAGACAACCACATCTTTATTATCTGCAGTAAGTTACTCCATCTTGGAGAATGACTGTCTTGGGGAAAGGCTTTCTGAAGCAGCAGCTTTGATCTATTGTTGATTTTCACTGAGGAAGTGGAATAGTGAGTAGAGCGGCATTGCAAAATATCTCAGGCTTACGAGCTGCATAAGCTCCTCTACAGAAATGGTCACCAACTTGGTAGAGAGCCACTTGTGGCATCAAACTGAATGGAGCTACAAGTGTGGTATTACCATTACACCGAATACATGTCACATTCTGTAGCATTGTGCACTGAAGGTATACAGCTGCATGGACAGTTGACTCCCCCGCTACTGGTTCTGCCAGACATGTATCAGAGCTGTGAAGGATTATGGTTTAGCCCATTAGTGGCAACCTGCATTGTCATTATGACTGAGCTACTGTTTTCATACTCCATGGTATGTGTTTCCAGTGATATGGGTGGGACAGCCTTCGGCAGAGGCAACACTAGCCCAAAAGGTACCATGAGCAGGCACTATAGGCATTTCAGTATGTATAGATATAATGAGTGGCTTTCCCTGCTGTGATCCTGTTGGTTTGAAGGCATTGAGGTCTAGCATAAAGAAATGGATGTGTGATATTAAGATGTGTTCAGAGAGAGTGGAAGTGATTTGACAGAAGGAATTTGGGTGTGATTCTTTGTACAAATGGTGTGGTGCTGAGCTCTTATTGAGCACCTTGAGCATTCTGTTATAATGTACTCTGGATAAGTGTGACTGAATCATTGAAACTGGAGATTTGCCTAATTGATGGCTTGACTTTTCAGTAGATCTATGCAGCACAGGATCACTTTGCTCCAATGCATCTTTCTCACGCTCCAGATAGCCATGCTGGTATGCAATATCTTACCAAGGTTTTGCCTCTCTAGAGACCCGCATTTTACAGAACATAGACAACACTGTGATGCAGCACACTGTAGAGAGAGCATGCTTGAGGAAGGCATTAAACAGGAAATTAAAGATGCACGAGTAAAGGAACATCTGTAATTATGAGTGATTTTAATCTGAACGTAGCTTGGCCAAATCAAATCAGTAACAATACTGTAGAGGAATTTCTGAAGTGTGTATGGGATGGGTTTCTGGGCCAAAACATTGAGGAACCAATTAGAGACCAGCATCCTAGACTGGGTAGTAGAAAGGAATAATCTATCTAATCTTGGCAATCTAGTTGTGTGAGGCCCTTTTTGGAGATGAGTGACCATAAGATGATCGAATTCCTCATTAAAGTGGAGAGTGACATAGTTAATTCTGAGATTAGAGTCCTGTGTCTAAATAGAGGAAACTGATGGTATGAGATGAGTTGGCTATGATAGATTAGGGAACTTAAAAGGATGATGGTGGAAAGGCAATGGCAAACATTTAAAGAGAGCAAGGCTGAACTGTAACAATTGTTCATTCCTGTCTGTGCATAAGTAAAAAGGAAAGGTAGCCAAAAAACTGCTGTGGCTTATGAGGGACATTGAGATTGCATTTGATCCAAGGAAGGGGCATACAAATTAGCCAGAAAAGACAACAGACCTGAGCAGAGGAAGCAGTTTAGAATTCAGCAAAGGAGGACAAGGGGATTGATTAAGAAAGTGGAAAATAGAATACAAAAGCAAACTGGTGGGAAACATTAACTGTAATATCTATTGGTATGTGAAAAGAAAAATTTTAAAACAATTGTAAGCCCTTCACAGTCAAACAGGAATTTAAAATTTTACAAAGAAATTGCTGACCAGCTAAATGCATACTTTAGTTTTGTTCTTACAAAGGAGGACCTAAATAACAGTAGAAATGTCACAGATCACAGGGTTTAGTGAGAGGGAGATGGTGAAGTAAATTCCTAATTGTAGGGAAGCATTGTTGGGGAAATTGATAGGATTGAAACCAGATTATTCCTCAGGACCTGATAATCTACATCCCAGAGCGCTTAAAAATAGTGAATGCTTTCATTATCTTCCAAGGTTCTGTTGACTCTGACTCTGGAACATTTTCTACAGATTGGAAGGTAGCTAATATAGTCCCTCTATTTAAAGAAGGCAGGCAGAGAGAAAATCAAGAATTGTAGACCAGTCAGCCATGCTCATGTAGAAAAGGTTTAATAGCTAAGCACTTGGAAAACAGTGGGAGGATCAGACAGTCACATGGATTTACAAAACAGAAATTGTGCTTGTCAAATATGCTGGAATTCTTCAAGGATGTGACTTGTAGAATTGTTGAGTGGATGTGGTTTATTTGGACTTTCAAAGTTCCACAAATAAATTTAGGTGTGTAAAATTAAAGTGCAGGGGATTGGGGATAGTATATTGAGATGGATAGAGAACTAGTTGGCAGTCAGGAAGCAGAATAGGAATAAAGATGTATTTTTTTCCAAATGGTAGCCTACCACAGGGATCAGTGTTAGAGCCCCAGCTATTTGCAATGTTTTTTAAGGATTTAGATGAGAGCTAAACATAATATCCCCAAATATGCAGCTGGGCGAGCTGGGATGATGATGCAGAGATACTTTGGTGTAATTTGGACAAACTGAAATGAGTGGGCAAATGCATAGCAGATGCAGTGTAATGTGGATAAATATGAGGTTATCCACTTTGGGAGCAAAAGAGGGAAGGTTGATTACCATTTGGCTATAAATTGAGTGACAGGAATAGGTAACAAGACCTGGATGTCCTCAAACACCAATTGCTGAAGACCAGTATTTAGATGTAATAGGTCATAAAGAAGGCATTCATAGTGAAAGGATTTTGAGTTCAGGAGCAGAGATGTTTTGCTCCAATCATAGTGTCTTGATTATACCACACCCAGAATATTTTCTGCAGTTGCAGTCTCCTTTTATCTGAGGATGGAAGTTCTGGCTATAGACAGAGCACAGTGAACATCTGCCAGACAGATTCCTGGCATGGTGGAACTGACGTTTGAGAAGAGGGTGAATCAGTTAGGATTATATTTGCTGGAGTTCAAAGAATGAGGGGAGATCTTGTGAAAATGTTAAAATTCTAACAGGACTAGACAGGATAGATGCAGGAAGGATGATCCGGATTCTGGCGGAATCCAGAACCAAGGGTCACAGTCGAAGGATATGGGATAAACCATTTGGCACTAAGAGGAGGAAAGAGGTAAGAGACGGTAGAGAGTGGTGAGCCTGTGGAATTCATTACCACAGAAAGCAG